AATGGTTATTGAGGACTTTTTGAAAAGACAATTTTCAAAGAGCTGTAGACGAATTAATTTTAAAAGGTCACACATATCCTATATGTTAGTCAGCAGTTTTTCGGATTGTTGTGGTAAAATTTTACAACTGCAACATTACATGCAGAATATGTATAATTTTTTGACAACTATAGGAGATTAATCATAATCTGTCTGCTACAGTACGGAAAACTGTACGCTTCTACCACTGTGTCTGCAGTTCCAACCCTTAATAGCATCAAGGTGCAATGTACCAGTATACTGCACACATTGTACAACTGTTACAATGCAGCATGATAATACAGTTTTATTTCATACATTTTCAGTCTGCTTCATGCTCCTATTTTTAGTTTAAATTTGGTCATTAATGGCTCAAGTGTATTATGCGCAATCACTTTAAATTTGCCAGAAGACTTGCTAATAATGATCGTTGATGCTATTTTTGGTTAATTTTTTAACAATCTCCTTCAGTGGTCACATCTGGTTTTATTTCAAAGCTCAGACTGAAAATAGAAAATAAATGACTGTATTCTTCTAGCCTAAATGTCCCCTCTGTGGTCCTAAAGTTTCTTTGAGTGTTGCAGAAATGGCAAAAAGCACTATATCGTGAGGGGCCATAAAAATACACACGTTACCATTTGCATTCTGTGCAAGCCATTTCAGGATACCCTGCCCTTGGAAAAGTCATTTAAACGCAGTGCAAAATGCAAAAGCCATGTCGTAAAACTGCTCTATATATAGTACTCGTATTTGATCCCGGACCATGAACAAAATTTGTCCTGACGTTTTATTGAGCCGCCACGACAATAAGTATCCGCCGCCGTAAAAGTAAAGGGAGAAAAAACGGAGAGTTATATTGTGACGGGAACCATATTGTAAGGCGACGTACAGTAAAATTCGGACCCGGGCAGTGATTTTTATTAGGGCTGGCCTTTTAGGATGGGTTATAGGGATGGACTGGTGGGATCCTATAATGAACTGCCATTTAGGTTTGACAAATGGGGGCAAATAATTGCATCCCCATCAAGAACTGGATGATGGATTGGGGATAAGAAATAAATACCTTTATGGCCAAATACATCTGTAACACACCGGGCAAATTCGTTGGCTATCTTCCCCCGCGCAACCTTTGTGAGAAAAGTGTATAACACATGCGTACTGTGTAATAACAGATAGCTGCATTAACCATCATGATAGATAGCAAAGAGTCCAATTTTCGGGGCTGGAAAGTAGTAAATTATGAGCTATCAGTGTCCCATTTCTGAGGCACGATGAACACAGGTCAGACTATAACTTATACCTCCAGTGCTCCTCTCTACTGGTAAATAATACTCGAATTTCGTTGATGTTAACCCCGGGTTTTGCACAGAATCTTGCACCTTCCACTAGAGAAGCTTTAAAATTGTGAAAATGTTGCTGAACCTGTAATTAAGATAATGGGACCGTCCTTGATTGTAAATTTAGAAACAGATTGCTATCGGATTAATGGTGAGTGCTTCTACTTGTCAAAATACATCTGTTCAGCAGCAGTCTCTGCCAAAGAAAGGTCTGTCTTTTTCAGGGGACTCTCCATTATTCTCTTGAACCGGAGCCAGGAAGTTAAGGGCTGTTTCAGTAACACCTAGTCTGGTGGTACTGTTTAGAGATTTTGTCCAAAAGATCACCTGTCTGTACAAATCATTACATATAAAGCACTACTTAATAATATACATAATATGATAATTATTTTACTATTATGCCATCCAAAATCCCAAAAAGATTTTCATGTTTACCAAAGGAAAACATACTGTTTTTGCTAAGTTTCCTCTTCTTCTTCTCCAAACCAAAAAGGTCAATGACCTGAGCCAGACTGTTTGTTACCATGATGGTAACTAGTGTTGGGTTACATCATGTTGCAATTTTATAGCAAGAGGGATTCAACATCACCTTGTTTGGTCTAAACCAAAACAATCCTTTTGGATAGGACTCTGCCACAAAAACATGTTTTATGCATATCAAAAATGAAAAATGATGATCATAAATTAAGCCATTTGAATTTTAATTGAGCGAAGTAGAAATTATGCAAACAAAACTCAATGATATTATATAAGAAAAATAATTGCAATATGACAACAAATACTAATCTTGACATTATTCCACCAGATTCTGTGAATTTGGGTTAGATAAAGACATGTGGCCGTGACAGTCATCAAGGTGTGGTTTATTATCATGCTGGTTTATTTTGAGGCCAGGTCCGACATCTTTGAAATTCCCTCCGGGGAGGGAGAAGCCTGTGTAATAGCACTCATAGCGGAATGATGAGTAATGATAAGGATTTGATTATTTTTCCTTTCCATTTTGAGTTCAATTTCCCAGATAATCTCCTTGCAGGGTGGTTCCTTAGATCGTAATCCTTCTCGTTTTCCTTTGTGGCTGAGTGGTAATTTGTATTTGTCGCCGGTAAAATCAAATGTGGGGAAGGTCGTTATACACCATTCCTCTGCACTGATAGGAAATTTTGTCTCGTGATGATGAAATCGCAGAGGTTCCAACGTTCTTGTGTTCACCTTGAAAGCTGTGCGCGGAGTGTTACTAGTGTTTTTATGTATCCAAGCAGCCCACTTTGTCGCTTGTTTTGCAATCTAATTACCGGGTTCTTATTGGCTTATTAAATTCCTGTTCAATTGGCCAAATGGTGCCTGTTATTTTCCATCACTTTGCTGCGTGGATGTCGGTAATTTAATGAGGCCGTTTCAAGAAAAAGCCGGGTTTTACTACAATCGCACGGAAACACTAGATTCACGACCGATCGTAATATAAGTTTTAAAAGCTGCACGTAAAATGACGTGACCCGCCGATGATGCTTTTGAACGACTCCTGTAAAAGTTCGGCTCCGCATGAAAGTTTAATAAGACATGCCTATAAAAGAATGGCCGTGATTTGTGGGGCTTGTCGCGAGAAATGTGACACAACACATGTCAAGCTGTCCCCCGAAATGAAATTACTTGATTCAAATGTCATATTACAAAAATAATTGGACCGGGTTATTTATTGCGCCCATCTAGGAAAACATTTTACGATAGCATTTTCTGGCGACTTTGCGACGGCGAGTCATTACCATGAGAATAACCACCTCGCCGAGACCTAACTTAGACATTGTGTAAGTCTAAAATAACAACCGGCCGGGGTGAAATAACACCGAAATTTATGGAGCAGAAGTTGAAGCGGAATCGCATCAAATAGGTTCTTTGAAGACGAATAGCCCGCTCCCTGGGGTGAGATATTAATAATGAACAGTAGGAATATGGCAAAATGAGATTGGGGATATTGCCTTGTAACTCTGGGTTGGCATCCACCAGGGACCTATAACATGTCCATATTGCTGTTTTGAAGAATGTATGATTTAAGCGGGGTGCTGTGTTCTGATCTACTCGGCTCTGTTGTACCTTCGCTGTATGATGATATCGTGTTTGGATTACCCTACCTTAGCTTCATTAAACCCAGACTTGCGGGTTGTGGCTCTATAAAATACCAGCCGGGGATCACGACGATTTGTTACCATTATTTTGCATCCAAGCATTTAGGCCGCCCTAATTTTTATGTACTTGCGCATTAGCTGTGGGAGTACAGTACATACAGCAATCTCTGTGCACACACAGTTACAGCGCAACAGTGACAAACATATGCAAGCAATTAAGGCCCATTACTTTGTGTGTAACTATATTTGTTGATTCGAATGAAGATAAAACATTTGTGTTGTCAGGATAAGAATAACTGAGGCCCTATTTTCGTTTTGCTTTTGTTCTTCGGAATTATAAATTATGGAGTTGTTCTAGATAGCGGGACAAGGGAAAGAGTTGACCTCTCGATAGCTTTGACATATTTTACCACGGACATTTACCTTTTGTACGAGGCATATTTGGCAGTCCGTCCGGCCAGCCGTATAACACTTTCGGACCGTATTGCCGGAGGATATAGTCACCGAGCGCAACATGAAATAATGCCATTTAAACATATCTTTCACTTTCTGCTATAAAGAGCAGTTTGGATGTGACCCAGAAGGGTTATGTGTCTTCTGAATGGACCAAGTGGAGCATAGAGACATACTTTACGGATAACACTCCACATTTATAGCCGAAAAGGCAATAGTCTCCTGCGATTGCCATATTGTTGCTATATGGCGTGGGTCGCTTTATGAAACATGATACTTCTGTTATTGTGCATGTGCATGACCTGGATGTTAAGCTACTGTGAAGAGGGTGGGTTTCGATGTATACATTGTAAGTAATACTATTCTGAATGTCAAAGTGTGATTCCTACATAAAAGAAAGCCATTACGTCAACAAGGGGCCATTACATTGTGAGTGGGTTGGGGCACATTTAATTACAATTTTCAAAAGTGTCTATGGGACTGTATGTAGTGACTGTGGTTTTGGATCTGGTACCAAATAAATGAATATCGATACTAAATTAAAACATCTAAGTTCTAACTCTTTAATTGTTGCCCACTGTGACTGCTTTTTATAGCTTTTCTGTCATAAAATATTTTGTTTGTTTATTAATAAAAACTCAAATTGGTCTGCATGCTGGCTGCTTTTCATTGACGCCCATGAGGGTCAGGGTCATGATAAAATATAAGATTTAGGTTACATGATATATTCATAAACATAAACAGTGTACAGAAGTAATATAAATGAATGAATATGAATGAATGAATTTGTCCTTCAAGCACCCAGCCCCTGAGCTTATAAGACTGAAACCATTTGGAGATATAATATACATGTACATGGAGTTACACAAGACAAGAGAAAATCAGAGGTACAGAAATGACATATTCATGAAAATCCATAGACATAGATATTTCTGACATTAGAATATTAAATCCTTTCTTTCAGACCTTCCACCTTGGTGATGGAGATACAATACAAAATTTAATGTATATACTACATAATATTATGTTACATAAGAAAAGAGAAATCAAAATTCCAATCTTCTTTTTGCAGACCTTCCACACGCCGAGTTTCGGTGATGAAGAGTTCCAAATCCCGCCGATCACGCCCCCGCCGGCGTGCGAGTCCGACCTGGTGGGAGCGAGCAGGACCTACAATGAGCCCACGCCACAGTTCCCACCTCAGAACCTGGACATCCCACCGATTACACTCGCAGACGCACTACACATGGAAGAAGGTACAGTAATAAAACCTCAACCTCCAACCTGTTCCTTCACTTTCGTTATGAATGAAGCAAGAAATAGTTTCATCTGTAAGAATACATTTCTCCCATCACACTGGCAGACGCACTACACATGGAAGAAGGTACAGTAATACAACCTAAACCTCCAAGCTGTTCCTTCACTTTCGTTATGAACGAAGCAAGAAATAGTTTCATCTGTTCATCTAATACATTCCACCAATCACACTCGCAGACGCTCTACACATGGAAGAAGGTGAGACACAGTTATCATGATTAGCCCACACCAATTTAATTTGTTGGTTCTCAGATTTGCCCACTTCATTTTTTTTCTGATTTGCAAAAAAAAATTGCAAAGGCCAAGTGGGTAGAGTGCTCGCCTTGCATTTGGTAGGTTGTGAGTTCAATTCCCGGCCGAGTCTCATACCAAAGACTTTAAAATGGTGCTTAGCACTTAGCATTTGGGAAAGAGTTTGGGAGTTAAACGCACACCACTTCCAGTGGACTAGACCCTGCTGTAGTGATTGCACAACTGTGTGGCCCAAGGGCAAAGAAACAGATGGGTGCCGTCAGATGCGACCATACTAATGCTTGGGAGAGGGCTTTAACTAACTAACTGCCATCATTGATATTCTTCCTTCCTTGTTTGTCCAGGCATGAACACCACGTCTCGGTCCTTCCCCACCACCTGTATGGGGTCCACAACCGTGCCTGACAGTTCCGGGGTCGCCATGACAACTAGACACTCCCCCATGGACCTGGCCTTCGACCAGGCCTCCTCCTCCAGGTATGCACTTATCCTCTTCATTTGTTTGTTTGTTTCGCATAACCGGTAAACCGCCTTTAGGCATAACACACCAGTTTTGTACATGTAAGAACAAGCTGCGTAAGACCGGACTGTAGGGTTTAAACCACTCACACCGGGAAGGTCCCCTACTCTTTTCGATAAGGGTTCTTGAACGTGTGTTGGGTGTGGCTCTCCCCAAACACGGGACCTCCATTTAACGTCCTATCCAAGAGACGTGCCTAACCAAAGCTTGGTACTCATTTATACCTGAGTGAAGTGAGGAAAGTCGTGTAAAGTGCCTCCCCCAAGGGCACAAGATCGGTGGCATTGGCGAGGATTCGAACCCGGGACCTCTTGAGTCTGAGCCGAACACTCTGTTATTGAACAATAAACCATTTATTATATCCTCCAGCCAATCCACCTTCAACTCCGACCACATGGGTCACATGACCTCCGGCAGCCAATCGGCGTACGGGAACTCCCCGCTGACCACGATCAGCCAATCGACGCTTAGCGAGCAGCTTGGGTTGGACCAGGGCTCGGCGTTCGGTGTCGGCGGCGCGCAGTCACCCGGCTCGAAATCCACGTCGCCATCAGGGTCTCCGAACTCAGGAGACGGTCAGGATGAGAGCGATGACAACGTGCCACTAAAGGTAAGGCAGACATTCTCACCCTGCATACACAATGTGCGCAATTTGTAGTTGGTTTAAACTGTAATATCCAAGACAAGAAATTTGACTCACCCAAATCTTCAATGGTACAACTCATTTCTGTCAAGGAATGAGCAATCCACCGCTTCTGTGACATCACATTATTCAGGTGACTCAGTAATCAGTGGATCATAGATTGCAGAAAGTCTGTATTGCCTAGTTGAGGGACAGTTGAACTGTCCTGATGTAGATGGATTGCTCATCCCTCGACAATGACACGAGTTGTACAGTCAAAATTTGTGTCCATTAATTAATTTTTATACAATCATGTCATATTTTACCAACAGATTGTCCCCACCTGGCTTGCACTGTAGCCAATATACTTAACAGCATAATACTAGATACAGAATGATACAACTCACCCACAGCAATAAAAGGTCTAACCCTGTGTCCCTTGTGCCCAGTTCCTTGCCCAGGGTCTGAAGAGAGCAGCGGCAGCAGCCACACAGGAGCCGACACCTGCCGCCACTGCGCCCAAGAAGAGAACACCCAAGAAGAGAAGGAAGAAGGACCCCAACGAGCCACAGAAACCCGTGTCAGCTTACGCACTGTTCTTCAGAGATACACAGGTCTGTAGGCACTGTGCTTTTCGTTCATTCACTGATTCATTCATGCATTCATTCATTCACTCATTCATCATTTGTTCATATTCAATCATTCAATAACGACAATGTTAGTTCATCCAGTCATTCAGTTCTTTGTTCATTCATCTCATCCATCCATCCATTCATTCATTCTTTCCTTCCATCCCTCATTCTTATAGCAATATATTAGTCTGATAATAAGACTTGCTTAGATTTATTGATTTATTTGTCTGACTGGTATACATACAGGCTTGCCCAACCTTAACTAGCGAGTATTTAACATTTACTTAACAATGTCATGTGTTCTGTAGTGGTATTCATAAATTTGTTCTCAAGTCAAGTCTTACTGATGATGATGATGCTCTGCTGGTATTGAGCTGACTGTATTTTTCCTGAACAGGCGGCCATCAAGGGTCAGAATCCGAACGCGACGTTTGGTGAGGTGTCTAAGATCGTTGCGTCAATGTGGGACAGTCTTGGGGAGGAACAGAAGCAGGTCTACAAGAAAAAGACAGAAGCAGCCAAGAAGGAATACCTGAAACAACTGGCTGCATACAGAGCAAGCCTCGTGTCACAGGTCAGTGCAATTTGTACAATCTCTCTCTGTCTCTATCCAGTTTAACGTCTGTTGTTCCCTGTAACAAGGGTTAGACGTGCTTGCACTCTGATGCTGGGGCTTGATGGCAGCCCGCCACTTGCCTCCGTCCTGTGGCTCTTGGGCACAGAAAGCCACAGTCACTTGTTCCTTTGTTAACTTGCAGTGCCTGTGTAGTCTTTCTATTGTTTCATGTTGAAATTAGCCCTTGGGCATGAACTTGCCAATGAAACTATTCTATAGTCATAATTTTTTTCATAGTAAAAGCATCATGATTTGCCTCAAAGGAGGATGACTGTTTTATCTTAAAGCTAAGGCTATCCTCTACATGAATACCTAGTGATTTTATGTAACCATCCTAATCTACTGAGTCAAGAGACTCTTTTTACACAGACAAGCAATTCTGACTGGTTCACATTGCACTGCAGCACAGGTGAATAAAACACTTGGTTGTGTAAAAAGAGTCTCTTCACTCAGTGACTTACCAACCTGATGAAACTATTCATGGATCCTACATGTAATCTTCTGATTTTATGTAACAGACTCAACCCTAATCTGTTCTCCCTCCAGGCTGCTGTGGATCAGGCAGAGTCAGATGAGAGTAAGAAGCAGAACAACATCTCGCTGTCCCACTCCGCGCTGAGAAACATCGCGCCCAAACCCAACATGTCCCCTCCCGCCAACCCCGCCGTCGTGAGAACGTCCCCGCCTCGACACATCATGCAGCAGTCACCACCGCATTCTCACCCTGCATACACACAGGTACGTATTGAATTTACAGTATACACACAATACCGGTCACTTTGTTAGCCTTGCAGCAGTCCCCACCACATTCTCATCCTGCATACACACAGGTGAGTTGATTTGTGTATTTAGTCATTCACTGACTCATCAGTTCACTCGTCGAGCTCAGTCCCGAAGCTTGTCAGCCGTAGGGGCAGTCTGACAGTCCGCGCAAGTCAGTACCTAAACCTAACCTTTGTTAGCAAAGCAAAGCCAAGAAAGCTAAAACACTGCAAAAAACTCACCTTTCCCTTCAATGCCAAAATTCTGCTGATGAGTGTGAAAATGAATGAATTTACAGTATACATGCACCTACATGTAATATAGGATCTTTCAGCAGTCCGGCTGGTACCTCGTATGATACGAGTACACACTGTAATTCTATATATAGTTGTTACTCCATGTCATTGGCTTAAAAGTCAGTGTACTTCTGCAGTGTAATGTAGGAGAATTTGTGTGACTCACCATCATGATAGTCTTTGTAGTAACGTTGCAGTTCCCTGTTGCCTCTCTAGATGGCGCCGCTCCAGACTCAGATGCAGATGTCGAGACAGCAGTGTCTGCGGCAGGGCTGCGAGAACCTCGCCATCGAGAGCCCCGACTGGGACAACGAGTACTGCAGCAACGAGTGTGTCGTCAGCCACTGCAGGTAACTAGGAAGGGATTCTTAAATATACATGAATGACTTGCACAGTCATACAGTACTATTCATATATCGCCCTGTAAAAGTACAATCTGCGATTGTTTCTCGTGCAACGCATCACACCGCAGTAAAAAGCATTGAATGCGGAAGTAACTATTCCACCGCAGGGCAAGGGTCTATCAAATTTTGGGGAAATATTCGGTAAAAAATGCCAGCTGGACAAGGGTTAACACATAAACAAAAGAACTCTGCAACAGTCCTGAGTCAGCTCACAAATGTGCCCTATGTCGCAGAGTGTCATTCCCGTATAGGACTGTTCAGCCATAGCCGAATTTGTAGGGCTGTTATGAACCATACGGTCAATATTGACGGAATTATAGACCATAATCATTACATATAACTTATATATTCTTAACTTTCTTCCTGCTGTCTAATCCATTTCCAACAGAGCACACATTGTAAACATTTTCCTTTACAAATCAGTAGTTCTTGAAATTGTTGTACATGTTTGGTACCTTAGTATCAAAAACTTGAACTAACCATTTATCTTGTTTCTTTGTTTGCTACAGAGATGTGTTTACTGCCTGGGTGGCATCCAGAAATCAGACGTTGTCTACTTCAGTCAAGTGAGAAGACCCCCCACCCCCCAGAAGTTACTACAGTTTTCACCAAACTTGGGAGAAATCACTTTCATGTAGAGCTACAAAAAAGAAATCATTACTTTGTCTGAGGTATAGGAGAGGACTTAATTTTGTACTGAAACAGCCAAACAAATTCAACCTCTGCATTTTCAAACACTTTGTCATGTCTGTTACGTATGTTCATCACATGACCACTGCCAACCAATCAAAACTGCTCTTTCAAAAAGTGTCATGGAGCAACCCTAACTTTGTAAGAAACAGTTGTGTCCATTCGCTGTAACAGTTGCATCTTTTGGCCGCCGACTATCGACTGTTGATACTACATTGTACTATGTACATTGAGACATTTTGATTGTAAATGATATTTGTTGTGGAGTATGTGAAAAGTAAATGTTTGAATATTGAAATATAAAAATGGTTATTTGTTTCACTTAGCTTTTTATTGTCATCATCATCATCATTTTGGGCAAGTTCAATACATAAATATAAGTTGCCCAGACTCTTATTTTAAAGACACAAGAAATTAAAAGCATGTAGCATGAAACACAGTCAGCTTTTGTCATTGGCAGTATCTCGAGTTCAAGCATTTATATCTTAACCTGACAGGTACAGGTTAATATTAACTAATACAGGTTAATATTAACTAATTTCACATATTGTCGCTCCATATATTTTTGATGTCGCAATTCATCGTTCAGAACCTACACGACAAACGTTTGAAATTTTCCATGTGTAAAATGCTGTACAAAGTCTTTACAATTAACCCATTCCTCTGTATTGAAGGGCAATATTTAGAAGGCTCAAGCTTAAAATAGTATTTGATAATCAGCTACAGTAATATGATTGTTGTTAACTGTGGCTTCCATTGTCGAGTATATATTTTGTGACAAATGACAGAATCAGACTATGCTGTACAACTATAAGTTGTTGCTTCCCAAAATATATAATTCCAATATGGCCAGTCCACTTTTACAGTTATATCTATATGGCTTCAAAGCAATTGGGGAAACATATTGTATGCACAAAATGTTTCAAACTTGTCTTATCATATAGATTCAGAGAGTTGCAATATTGGGAAAAACAGTATTGTTTGTTTTCTATATTGAAAATATCTTACATTGGCCTAAAAAAATGCTATGAAGATTGCAGTAAGAGTAATGAAAGTGGTCTGGCCTAATAATGTATAATTGTTTGGCTGTAATTATATGTTGTATTTGAAAAAAGGTTTTTGATGATCTAATGCCTTGAATGACTGTCACAATCATGCCAAACAATGGAGAAATTACTGTAATGTGGAATAAGTCTTCTCCATAAGCAGAGTTCCAACTTAATGACTTCTGTTTTGTTATTAAAAAACGCATTGACTTGAAAAGTTACTTGAAATGTGTAGATATTTTGGTATTGCAATGATTTTTTTTCCATTTTGTATATTTGTACTTTTTTATCATCATCATGGTACAAGTACTGCTTTAGTATGCATCGCTGCATGTTGTATAGAAATGTGATACAGTAGTTAGGCAAACTAGTCAATACAGGGCTCAAAATGGTCATGCATGCATGTTGTCGTGTTTACAAAAACTTAAGGGTATTTTCAGTTTGAATCATTTTACATTTTTGTACAGATTTGAAACTGAACTGAAATTTTTGCACAATTTTGATTTAGAATGACATGTATGTAGTTAAAAGAATCACTAAAATCTACATTTTGTAAGTCAACTATACAAAAACTGACATTGAAAATCAAAGAGAAAATCGAACTGTATATTAACACATACACTTTTTGATAGATTGGTTAAACATATAAAAAAGACAATTTGTAGTGCATTGAAATCACTCATTTCTAAAAGAAAAAGGAAATTAAAACTTGAGATGTATCAGAAAAAAGGCCATGTAAAAGATTCAATGACATGAAATTTTTATCACATGGATAAACCAAAACAAATGCTGTTGTCAATTTGCCCAGTGAGTTGCTTCACGCCATTTTGAGCCCTGTTTTGACCAGTACCTTGTTTGGTTAACTTCATAGCATAATTAATATACAGACAATGGCAATTTTCCATCTAGCGAAAAGATAAAGAAGATGGCTAAGAATGTTGAGCAGATTCACAATTGAGAAGAAATCTTTGATTTAAAATGAGTGTCCTTTGAGGAAGTCCTTATCTATCAATTGTAGATATGAAATGTAAATTTCTTGATGGAATGATTTGGGCTCAATGTCGCAGCTAATAAGGAATCGCTGTTTCGTCAACTTCTGTACCAAGAATGTCATCTTCAAGTCAGAATGTTTCTATTATGTATTAGGCCACACCAATTTAATTTCTTGGTTAACGGATTTTTGTAGAAAAATAATGGAGTGGGCAGGCAAAAAAAATAAAAAATAAAAACAGGCCTAGGCATCCTAGTATGGCCCAAAATGGTACGATAGGAGCCATGAAGTCAACACACCAGGCTGGTTCAAAATTTAAACAATGAATTTTGCATTGAAAGATGGAATATCTGTAACAACTAGGAAGAAAATGACTGTTTTCAACTGTTCGGGGCAAAATATGATTATTTTGCATTTGATTCTGATTTTTTTTTTTTTGAAAATCAGAAAAAAATGAAGCGGGCAAATCCGTTAACCAAGAAATTAAATTAGTGTGGCCTTATTCCATTGTGATTTGATATATTCCACTAACGCTCATGATCATAGGTTTAAGTGATTTTCCTCCCTTTGCTTTGATAGCGCTAACACAGCTCAGATTCAATAATGTAAGAATTGTCCGTGCCTAATACTGATGAATATTGTATGGAGTCCCTGTGATGCCAGTTGGAGATGTTCCAACTTGTAAAGTTTGTAGAATGTAAACTATAAAATTGAATGTGAGCCATTCAGATTCTTCGGTTTGATACAGAAATGTTGTCCGATATTTTTTCGTCCGAACCAATATCCACAGTTTTACTGTTAATAGTTCCGCACCGGCAGTCCAATATCTCTCCATCGTGACCTCAATATTGTAGATGTTGTATAAGCCACGACAATGAACCACGTTGGTATAATAGAAGTAATTTTTGTACATGTAGAAATGCGGTCGACTGGTTATACCAGTTCGAGCCCACCTCTATCTAGATGGATGTAAAAAGTGTGATCGGACTTTGCAGCCTGTGACTGACATGTATTGTTATGGTATAGACAGGGCATACGCGTGCGGTGCCCCTTGTATTTAAGTAAGTCCGTTCCTGTTTATTTTGAACGAGATTTTTTTTATCTGCTTGCGATCGAGGGGAAGTTCTTGTATTTGTAACGTGTCAATGAAGGCAATAAAGCTGTCAGATGTAATCATACTTTATCTGTCAATTTGTCTTACATTTTTTTTTATATTCCAACATTTCATGACTAGATGGCACGCTCAAGTTATATAAACTTATTTTATGCTGCCACCAACACAAAAACACAAATACAGGACAATACTCATTTTCACTTGAGTTAAGTGAAGAAAGTCGTGTTAAGTGCTTCTCCCAAAGGTCTTACCTTTGAGTGGACAAAACTGTAATGTAAAAGCAGCAAGCAGATGTTCACTCCCAATTCTTTAGCATGTTTCTTCAGCACTGCATACATGTACCTTCTGATGTGCCAGATCTTGTAGCCTGAGTTCTTGCTGATTCATCACAAAAGAGATTCATGAAACACTGCAAAACAAGCCAGAGCTAACATCTGCTTAGGGATTGAGAGGACAGTATTGACAGGCAGGCTAGAGTGGAGGTTCCCCTATGGCTCTATATAAATGTCACAGACTATTTCCTGTTTGGTCACAGTTTTACCCACCTTTTACCACTTGTTACTGAAAAAGTAAAATGAACACGTAAGATGGCAGCCTCAAATATGGATGTATCCCAGGGAAGCAGATGCTGGGAATACAATTTGAGACTGCTACAATGTACAACCTTCCTCTCCAACATGCTTGGGGGTACATATTGTTGAAGCGACACCTATCGACTTAAGCATGCTCTGCACCTTCTATTGTTGAAGCTACTAATTTTAAGTTAGCAGACATTTTTCGCGTACTTCCGCAGGAAGGAGGAAGTCGTTTCTAACTTGATGAAGTTGTTTGTTACTTTTTTCTTGAGGAAGTTTTTGTAGCGATGAAAAGGTTCAAGTACAATCAGTCACGAATGTAAACAAGCGGGTAACCGAAATAGTTTTGCTCCATAGTTACGGAAGTGTGAACCCATAACCTTCCGCGTATAAAGTTCCGCTTTGCCTGCAAATGATGCACCCTCAGTGACCCTGGCGACTTCCGCTTTCGAAAGGTGCATACCTTAATTCCATCTATTAACCACCATAGCAGGGACAAAATATCGTTTTGGTGTGATTTGGTTTTGTATCAGTTTTAATTGTATAAAGGCGGCTAATAAGAAACAATAAAAGCTGATCATGATCATGATACACGACCAGAAAAAAATCCCGACCCGTAGAGTCCATGCTAAAGAGGTTACTAGTACCCACTGGCCAGCTATGCGAAACTTGACAATGTTACTTCCCTATTTGCAGAACTAGATCATAGCAATTGCAAAGTATAGGTTTTAAACAAACGCATTGTTCGCTGCTATTTTGGTGTATCGGTGTTTTGTGTGAACTTCTGTGGCAACTTCTGCTTTTCAAAGATAAACATAAGCTTCCCCATCTCATATAAATACCCTGACTGGCACACACTGGCACCACACCATGCATAGTTAACTCAGTGCTTCAACAAAACCTAGTGTCCGTGCATGCAATATGGCTGCGTTTCCGACGACACTCTCAATTCTGTGTCTTATCTCAGCGCTCTGCATTGCTGAATTCGGCGCAAGCTTGTCCGACGGTAGCGCGAAACCTGCCGTTACTACCAAACTGTTGAACTTGAAGAATCCAAACGGTTTCTCTCAGTCTCCGAAAATCAAGAAGTCGCCCTTCGACTTGGACTTCCTGCGAAACTGCATCCGACAGGGGGACACCGCTGTGTCCTGTACCCGGAGACACCTACGCTATGTCCCCCGCGGGATACCTGCAACCACCACAAGGCTCAACCTGACGGACAACCTGTTTCAAGTTTTAGGTGAGTACGAAGCTATCATGCCATTACTACTGCTAGTGCTAATAACGTGAATCCCCTGTCATAGAGGTTTGAATTATCTTTATCACATACAAGATGGAAGATTGCTCGGATAAAACCTTGGTCAACCCTTTATAGTATCTCTTGCAATTGATACAACACTAACAGGTGTGCGCGCGCAAGGCAGGTAAGACAAATATACTACAGCTAATAGCCGAACTAGGCTTCGTATAAACACTGCCGAACTCATGTACCCCCACCATGGGTGGCTGGTGTTGGGTGAGGTGGCTACTGTTGGGCTGGGGGAGCAGAATGAAAATTTTAATTAAAAATGTTAACATTCTGGATTGGGAGGGGACAGTAGTGGACCACGGTTCAAGCGGGGGATTTTTTGGCTGGAGTATGTCAGCAGTAGTCGGGGCTTGGATTGCAGTCATATTTGACTCAAATTTAACTCCCATCCAAGCTCCGACTACTGTTTTGAATCAAATTTAACTCAAATTGGATTCAATTCGTATCGAAAGGTAAGCTCGGCCAAAATTTGGTCAGACTGCCCCAAAACTTGGTTGGTTAGTTGTCGGGTCGGAATAAGGTTCTATATGTGTAAAGGGCGAAAGGGCCTTGAAAGTGTCGAGCCGGAAAGGGAAAAGAGGAAGAGGCCGCTAAAGGGGGAACCTACATTTTGTATGTAGGGTAAAAACAAGGATCAGTTCACAGGGCTTGGGACTTTTGGGACCGGCGTTGCTACCAACGTAACTATGCGGCTGTCACAAAAAGAGGAAGTTTGTGTACAACTGTTCCCCTTTTGCGAAGGCTTGACAGCATTTTAATGTTCTCCTTTTCTCCAAACACAGTAGTTAAGGTCAATGAGATATAGTCGGCCTGCTCAACCACGTTAATTTCCCTCCCACAGGCCCAAAGACGTTCCCACAACTCTACAAGCTGGAAATCCTGGACCTGAGCAAAAATCTCATCAGCTCCATTCAGTCAGGGAGTTTCAGAAACACCTACAACCTGACGAAACTCTATCTCAACCACAACAACATTTCCGCCATTCTGAAAGGTGCGTTCGACGGCCTGGTACGGTTAGAATATCTCGAACTGGCCTTCACTCGCCTCTCCAATCTCAACAGCGTAGAGTTCCTCACCCCCAATCTAAAATCACTCAACTTCACCTCGTTTGCGGGAAACGGGGTCACTCGCTGCAAACTCGGGAACGAGTTCAGACATTTGAAACAATTAGCCCACTTAGACCTGGCTTACAACAACATTGCCGACCTTGAACACGACTGCTTTGCGGCACTGGACGAGTCGCGCGTCCAAGCGCTAGATCTGTCCTTCAATAAAATCCAGGCTATCAGGCACCCAGTGTTCTGGCCTTTCCGTAACCTAGCCTACTTGTTTCTTGACGGAAACAGACTTGACATGAAAACGTTGAACACGACTTTTGACAACCTGAAAAGCATTGAGACCACGTCCTTGCATCTTTCCCTCTCTAACAGCACGTTTCTGACTGGAGTAAAAACTCCTTCGAACACCACATTTGCACGCTTGGCCAACCTCTCAATCACCCAGCTGGACTTGTCTCATGTAGGGCTGCAATTCTTACCAGAATCGGGTTTGTTCTCTTTCTTCCCCCGGCTTGAAAGTCTGATCCTAGTCGGAAATAACATCACAGCTTTACCTCCGAAGGCGTTTAGTGGGTTGGGTCGCCTGCAGACGCTGGACATGAGCAAAAACGACCATTTCGAAAACGTGCCTAACGGCTCGTTCGTATCTCTTGACAATCTGACATCCCTGTCGCTGACCCTAGCTAAAGGACGGTCCGACATACACGGCAGTGTGTTCCTCAACCTTCCCAATCTGAGGTTTCTGACCATTTCAGGGCCTGAGACGAAACATGCGGTAGGCAGATTCACCAAGTTCAGTCTACGAGGTTTGAAGCGTCTGGAATCGTTGACAGTAGATTGGAACGATCTCCCCGAGGTACCGACTACCGCCCTCCAACCAGTCAAAGCAACACTACGAAAGTTGGGCTTCCCTCGTGGCCACATTTCGGAACTAGAATCTCGAAAATTTCTTGGGTTTAGCCGCCTTGAGTCTCTTGACTTCTGGTTCAACAAGATCTCTTCTCTGCCCGAGAACGCCTTTGAAGGTCTAGAAAACCTGGTCTACCTAGACCTAGCTCACAATTTCGTCCGAGAAATACACAAAACTGCTTTCTTTGGCCTTTCCAAACTGCAGAAGTTGTACTTGAAAAACAACAACCTTTGCTTCAAAGCTGATCAACCGATCCCTCCCCCGTTTACTGAACTATCATCGTTGGTCTCTTTGCATCTGGAAGAACAAACATTAGACTGCAAAAATCCTGGGGGGATTCAGTCTTTCCCTCATGATTTCTTTGTAGGATTGGTCTCGCTAAAGAGGCTCTATCTCGGCCGCAATAACCTTAACGCAATGTTGGATCAGGTAGAAACTAGCCGCCCGTTCACCAACCTCACGTCTCTAGACGTGCTAGATCTGTCGCAAAACAACTTCGAATCGTTGACGGCGCTGCCCTTCGAAAATCTCCACAATCTGACCCGATTAGACCTCTCTTTCAACCGGATTCCGAGAATCCCAAACAGGCTGTTCAAATACCTGCCGAAGCTGCGAGCCCTTGAGCTAAATTCTAACCGCCAACTTGGAAAATTGCCAAAGGCCGGGTTCGGCTTCTTGCAAAATCTTGACAACTTGAACTTGGAAGACAACCCCCTGCAGTGTACCTGTGAAGAAGAGTGGTTTTACGATTGGGTGGTGAGTAATCGGACCAAGACTCTCTTTTACAACTTGTCCAACTACGGCTGCGTGGCGCCAGAACGGCTCGTGCACAAGACTATCCTAGACTTCGACCCTGAAGCGCAGGGGTGCCACGACAAGACGGGCATTCGCGTGGCGATCTCCTTTGCCGTTCTCCTTGTGGTCTTCCTCCTGGGCGTGTTTGTGGGCTACAAGAACCGCTGGTACATCAAGTACGGCTGCTTCGTCATCAAGGCGCGCTTCCACGGCTACCAGGCTCTGAGAGACTCCAACACGCAGAAGAAGTTCGACGCCTTCGTGTCCTACAACCACCACGACCGCGCCTGGGTGATGGACGAGCTGGTGCCGCACTTGGAAGAGGAAGAGGGGAGCGAGTTCCGACTCTGCCTGGACTATCGCGACTTTGTCGGCGGAGCCCCGATCACCGACAACATCGTGAACGCCATCTACGACAGTCGCAAGACCATCTGCCTGGTGACGGAAGAGTTCCTGAAGAGCGAGTGGTGTGAGATGGAAGTGCAGATGGCGACCTACCGACTGTTCGATGAACAGGTAATGTAGTCAGTAGCGTATATTAAATTTCAAGGCCTCTATGTTCTAGATGAGGAAATCTTTCTGGTGTTGACAGCTACTGCCATTTCTTAGCACAGCAATAGACCTCAGCCTCTCTGCCCGATATATTATTCGTAGAGATCTCCAAGTCAACTAGTGTCTATTGACAGGGACTCGGACCGGGATCTCTGCCGATATTACTTCTAACGGTAGAGAGAATGAGGTCTAGATCTATTCTTATTCTTCCTCTGTCGGCTGCTAGATGTAGACGCAGACGACTATGTGGCCTATTGTTGTGACTGAACATTGCCCAACATATCCTAAAAGTTAAACATTCAATCGGCGATTCTACCAGATCTGGGTCTCTAGCTACCCTGACATGACACCAACTACTACAACTCTCGGTTTCTGTCTCCCTTGTGCTGTCAACCAAATTATCCACCTCTACTAAGGGATAAATTCCGGACGTTTCTAGTCACAGTGACATCCACCATTGCATTCTTCAGCGTCAGTGGTGGATGTCACTCAATCGCGTAACGTTCGGAATTCATCTTCGTAGTTTATCTAGAGTTTGAATTTTCTCTGAGTATCGTTGACCTGGATGCCTAACCCTCCCAAACGTTTCCTCCTCTACTATACTCCACAGGTAGATGTGTTGATCCTGGTGTTTCTGGAGGACATCCCTGACCGCGCCCTGCACCGTTACCACCGCCTGCGCCGCCTCATGTGCAAGCGCACCTACCTGGAGTGGCCCAAGGATCCGCAGGGGAAGGCACTGTTCTGGCAACGTCTGAAGGACGCACTGAAGACCGGGGACAGGCCGCCTATTGAGAACATCATTTGAAAAGTCCTAGGATGGTTATCTCCAAGTAGATATTTCGGTGGCTGCAAAGACAGTATCAATTGGCCGGATACCACGCTTTTGCCGCCAGACATTTACTGAAAGATTATTATAATGGCATCCAGGCCAACTGAACTATCATATCATAGGCTTACGCCAATGTTTTCAGTTTCTTCTTTGTTTGTTTGCTGTTTATTTCGCATAACTGCCTCTAGGGTTGATACGTTCTTAGGAAATGTTGGTGTTCTCTATTATTACATTATGTCACGTAGCAACTGATTTACAGGTTTTGGTTCATGTGTTTTTGAAGTGAAGTGTTAGTGGTGTGTTTTTGAAAATGCAATAAGGAAAATAAATGTACACAATAGTTGACTGTTAATAGCATTCTGATTGTCATTTGTGTAAATGACATGCGAATTTGCAAATGTATGTCTAATCATGTTTACTATCAAATTTACTATTAAAATAAAAACAAATATCTGAATTAACTATACTACACATGTCAATAAGTATGATATTTCCATTATATACCACTGAGATTATATTTGCGTATGAGTCTTTATTTCTGTAATTGATATCCAGCAATGTCCCTCTCTTTCTACCTGAAATATAAATGCAAGTATCGTTATGCAATTCCTATCTTTGAACGCAATAAAATTATAAAATGCATCAATATATCAATTAGTGTGTCATGTTTTGTCTGCTTACGCTAAAGTTAAGCTAATTGTTAAGTTCATGATAATTCATTCATCCTTCAAGTTCACCCAATTCCAAAATCTCTAACGAGAACTTCACTGCAGTTCCAAAGAATGATACTAGGCAGCTCTTGAAGCCTGTATCACTTCTTTTAGAGGACAAAATCTATCCTCCACTGCCCCAATATTGTGAGAACAAAGTACACAAAACTCAGATTGATGCAACATCAAAGAAAGCGTTTGGGGTACATGTGTCTTTTTAAGTTGACCTCAAAAGACCCCACGAACCACACTTGTTTCAAATCTCGGACACCTGTGGATTGAACTCTCGCGTAGTTTCGCGAGACATTCCGGAATCAGTTCAAAACCAAACGCGCAGACAGACTTTGTTTGTTTACATCGTAAAAATCGGACCGACGAGCGTTTGAGAAGGGTTCAAGATGGCTAAAAACCCGGAGGCCAGAGCAAAGTACGTTTCTTCCTCATATAAGCCCTATTTCAGACTTTGGTAGAGCCGTTTTGTTTGATAAACTTATTTTTCGTGTAACGAGCCTAAGCTTGTTCGCCCCCCTCCCCCTTGCTTCATATTTCCATATCGTTTGTAGAGTGTAAGTACTTGTAGCTTACTATAAGCAGCTAGCAGACATTATCACAGGTTTACCCGTTGGATTCTTTGGTATAGAATAGAAAACACACCGAACTCTTGGGTTCAACGTCTGGACTTGACGCGAAGTGCATTCTTGTGATACCAAAAAATTATACAGCTGTGGAATTCCTTTATACAGTGTGTAGTGAGTGCAGAAAGTGTTAGCCGTGGCGACTCTTGATTCGGGCTTACATTGCATTACCCTCAGCAAGAGTCGTGGAAAGATCCATTGGCAGAACTGCACATTTCCCGTTGGCTGCCCGATGCTCCGTTTTTAACCTGGTTTTTTGCTGTCCCGAGCTTCCCTACAATATAACTCCACAATTGGCCGGGTTGCCGATGTTCAGATCAGCCTAAATATTCCACAGCCCGACCGAGAACTACTAAAATAGCTGGTCGGCACATACTGGCGGCCATCTTGTATTTAGTCGGGAATGTCCGCTACCGCCGTCGGGAACGCTCGGTAGCGTCACGATTAAGCATGAGCGAAAACTCTCCGATCATAACCGGAAAGGCTACCGAACGTTCCCGACGGCGGTAGCGGACATTCCCGACTAAATACAAGATGGCCGCCCGTATGTGCCGACCAGCTATTTTAGTAGTTCTCGGTCGCGCTGTGGAATATTTAGGCAGATCTGAACATCGGCAACCCGGCCAATTGTGGTTTTATACTATAGGGAAGCCCGGGACAGCAAAAAACTGGGTCGAAAACAGAGCATTGGGCAGCCAACGGGAAATGTGCAGTTCTGCCAATGGATCTTTCCACGACTCTTGCTGAGGGTAATGCAATGTAATCCCGAATCAAGAGTCGCCACGGCTAAGAAAGTGTGAGCAGAAAGATTGGACAATCATAAATTTGGGACAAGAAGAAATACCAAGTGTGAGAAGAGGGTGTTACAACAGACAGATAGCCTTCCAACACTGAGGGATTCTCAATAATCTAGGGATAATTAGTAACGTTATATATAGTAACTCAACGTTATTTTCAGAGAGAACCAGATGAAGTTTATCCAGGACAGAATCACCAAAGCGGAGCAGCACTTCGGGACTCTGTGCCAGGAGTTTGCTGCGTTCTCACGGAAGACGGCCAAACTGCGGGACAAGGGCGACGAGTTGGCGAAGGCCCTGCTAACGTACGCGGAGGCCGAGGGGCAATCGCTGAAGTCTGGCGTCACGGGATTCGCAGAGACCATCTCAGCTATACAAGACTACAGGCAAGCAGAGGTAACTGTTTGTATTTTTGGCGACGCCTCAGGGGGGAGCCTAATGGCACAGTATTGTGTGTAGTTTGCAAGAATTCTAGGAATTGCACAGGCATTTTTTTCCACAGGCATGGCATGTCTACAGGCATGTTGATGGCACACTTTTATGGACACATTCCTACGTAGTCCTAAATTCTTGCCCACATACCCACATGCCTTTCAAGTGGAAGTTTTACATTCTTCTCACATTTCTTCCCACATGCCTTCCAAGTGGATGTCTTAGCATTCCAAGTGGAAGTCCTACATTCTTGCTCACATTCCTGTCCCACGTGCCTTCCAAGTGAATGAACTACAAACTCCCAAGACATTTTAGAATTACTTCTGTGGGTACAGTCGATAGTGATCAGATGTGCTGTTGTAGTACCAGGTAGCCGCTTGTGTTGAGTGTCCGTTGGATAGGTAAGTTTGCCATATACATTATCTATGTCTAGTTGTCAAGGTCGTGATTTGGAGTTTTTTAAAGTTGCCAACACTAGTCAAAGAAGTTGCCAACACTAGTCAAAGTGTGTGTTGTTTTAGGATCTGTTATGACAAAAGACAATAGCATTTTAAGGAGGGCCCCGCACGCCCATTTTCCGTAGAGTGTAATTGACTGTTTTAATTCTACGACTGTAACCGGACCGATCTATTAACGCGTGTCCTGGATGGTAAGTTTGCCATGTTCAATGATGAATCCTATGATGAATTCTACGTAAGTCAGCACAAGACATAGACTTTAATAAATGTATCTTAAATGTTAATATAATTTATAGAGACCATGCAGGTTTTTTGTGTAAATACTACTCTACTGGAATTTGGAAAATGACCCACGCTGTCTTTCCACCAAGCTTCTATTGAGTCGCATGGTTGGGATACATTCAAGTTGATATTATGAGTTCAAAAAAATCGGCGAGTACAATATTATCATGTGACCCGTTTCTAGCAAACTAGCGCATTTGAAGCTTGCGTTGTGTATAGACTATTACACATATTAGATGTTTTGTGCTACCGTTTTACAAGAAGTTCTAAATATAACAACTCTTCATGAATGGAAAGGATTGTTCATATAAATTTCTATTTCATTACAAATTCAAACTGTTGACACGGAGATCAGTTAGCTAGGATAGGATAGGTATATCGCGAAGTTAACTCCTCACGAACATAAATGCACTTACATATATGTTGAACACATCAGAGGTTGACATTGATAGGTTGTTGACGTTGGTTGGCATAACCAAATATATTGACTAGATCAATTTTGGTACAGGACAAGGTAGAAGTACACATGTATTTTAGAGTTTTTTGTGCATGCAGTCCTAAGTATGCCGTAAAATTAATCATGTATGATATATGACAATACACCGCATACTATCTACACCAGAGAGAGATTTGTACTTCTGTAAGACCATCGACACAGGTGTTTTATACGGCTTTATTTAGCCTTAAATGGATTTCCTGTTACATTACCTTAAGTTTGCCTGGCCATAGGGTGCTTGCGGAAGGCCTCCGGTTAGAAAAAATACCACTCAAAAACGACAACTGCAAGGGGTCATTCGCACCTTCTGCCATGTGATGACTTTTTGAAAACTAGTAGATCTAGAAGGGAAACCTTTTTTCAGGCCCAAGATCATCAGTTTTGGCTTGCACAATAATTCCTCTCCGGCTGTCACACAGTCCTATGTGAACTATTTCCGCCCAGAACGTTGGTCCTCTGCGTGCCCAGTTCCATTTTCTTAGCCACCTCAGCAATATATCCTGTAACTCGTCAAGTCCAGTCCGTGAAACGCGGGTGGTCGTCTTTAAATTGTAGGTTACTCAGATGTGTTGTTGCCATTTACGATTTAAGCGCTTAGTGGTGGTGTGGTTTCTCCTGATGAGAACAACGAAGTTTCATTCGGGAGCTGTTCGATTTGGAACAACGTGGAATTTGTACAATGCCTGCCCTTCGTCATGCGCTGAAAACCGGTGGGACATATAGTGGTATGGTTGCTATGCCTGCATTCTTAACATGCGCTGTAAACCCTAGGGATTTGTGGCATGTCGTCAATGCCTGTCTGCACATGCACTGAAGTCTTATGGATGTCCTACTTTCTGGCCCCAGGGCTCGAAATACTTTTTTCAGCCAGGTGGCGCATGTTGCCACCTGAGTCAAAAGCCAGGTGGCGCCATCAGTATTCAAGTGGCAACACTTCCAAGTTATCATTTTCTTCAAATCTGCTACTTATATCTATTACGTTTTCTTCTAGTTAACTACTTAAGTTTTATGTTATAAAATAAATGTAAAGAACACAAAAGCTCTCAAACAACAATGTTTTAATAAAGAATGCCACCTTTACATCACTTCATCACAGGGCTGCCGCCGTGGGAATGCCACGCCTCTACATGGCAGCACACTTATGCGGGTGGTGTTACGTGCGCCATGTTCTTCGTTTGCGCAAGGATAATGTTACTCTCATCTGCCAAATAAACATACCCCCGGAATAAACATACCCCCCGGACAAATCTTCAAAATCTAATAAAAAATGGTATTAGTTCCCTTGATTTAAAAAAAATTGGGCATAGGTTCCCCGGATGACCCCTAACCGGGGGCCAACGGTGCTTCCACAAGTTCAACAAGTGAACTTGGAGCAAATATTCCCAAAGGTGTTACTGACATTGATATATTAAAAACTAAACCAAATCCTATTTCCCAAACAAATCACATATTGACACAGCTGAACAAATAAAAATAGTGATCATGTCTATACTCCACTCAAAAACAATTTTTGAGAGACACTCGGGTCGCGGTACTAAGCGTGGTAATTTCTAATATCTCATCTGATTCTCCCAATGTACACATGTATTAGGGACTTCACAATCACAGCATCTAACCGCACTAACACAAGAAACCAATAAATTCGGGAAATTTCTCAGTAATGTTTGAAAATTAATCTTATAAAAATACAAGTGAATTTTTATTTCAGTTGTAGCCCAAAAAATATTTTTCATACCTTTAAAGTTTCGTTTTAGCACATTGTAATATGTACTTAGTACATGTATCTTGTACATTTGGGTGCTATCTTGACCTTTGACCACTGTTATTGTGAAACACCGTCGGCCATTTTGTCAGTCTCGCCGCTGATTTTCGAGCCGTTTTTTCGAGCAAATTTCAACCGTTTTAAACATTTTACGGCCTCAAAAACTCATATAACGAGGAAAGCAAGTTGTAGTTGTTATTTTCATGCGTAACATTTCTTCTGAGGATGGATTATTTTTCCGCCGAGCTGCCGAAAACTTAGCGTCGCATGCGGTCGGGCGGCCGGCAGGATTTTGTATCGGCGCGCTTTGCATGTAAACAAGGACAGTCGGAGTTGTTTACATGAAAATTGTGTTGTGAAACGCCAGCAAGGTGTCTGATTTTCTACCAATGAGAACGTTTTCTTTGTGGCGTCATGGCGAGATCGACAATTCATCGTCAATTAACAAGATTGTGCCGACAATGGGGCCCGATCCATGCGATTAGCGGCTCGATCCACGCAAATTATAGGTGGCGCGCTGCGCCACCTGAGTTTAGGAATAAGTGCCGCCAAGCAAAATCAGGTGGCGCCGCGCCAGTGCGCCACCGGGTATTTCGAGCCCTGGCGGCCCTCATTCCCACATGTTTTCCAAGTGGATGTTTTACATTCTTGCCATTCCCACATGCCTTCCAAGTGGAAGTTTTACATTCTTGCTTCCATGCATTCGCACATGCCTTACAACATTCCTTCCAAGTGGAAGTCTTCAAGCCTTCCAAGTGGAAGTCCTACATTTTTACTCACATTCCTTTCCCACATGCCTTCCAGGTGAATAAACTACGACCTCTAAAGACATTTTAGAATTACTTCTGTGAGTTAAGTCGATCACATTGTGAATCTGAACATGTTGGGGAAATGCTGAGAAGGAGACTTACAGATATGCACTGATGATGTCTTCGAAGCTTCTACAGTTTTCAAAAGGGAAGTCAAACCCTTCAGACATAGTTTTAGACATAGCTACAATTTTAGACAACTACCTTTCATCATGTAGATTTTAGTTATTTTATATACTGTTCTTCAATGTCCTTTTATGTTTGTAACTGACAATTAGCCTCTGGGCATGAATTTGCAATAAACGTCTCAATTATTATAATAGAAGAGAAAGATATCATAATTACCTGTTTAAATGCAGCAGAGCTCAGAAGACTGTCGGTACAGATTCACAAGAATTTTTAGTCTTGTGAATCTGTACCGACTTCATGAACATCATGGGAGTCTTGTCAATCTGTACAATTTCCACAATGTCCCAACGGTTTCCTGGAATTTCACTAGGTAGGAATTGTATGTCAAGTGTATGTCCCACATTCTAGCCACATTCCCCACATGCCGTACCCAGTGAATAGTTAGCATTTTGTCCACAGGCATGCGGAATGTCCACAGGCATTTCTCTGACCCACATCTATGCCCACATTCCTATAAACCCTTGGGAAGATCTGTCTGCCCTATGGCCCTGCTTTCTGTGACCCCGGGGCTCGTTCACTATACACTCAGGGGAGGAGTGCACTGTATCTGTCTAGACTTAACAGGTACCATCATGGCAGTGCCATGCAAACAAGAACCCTAACAGCAACCACCGTCGCCATGGCAATGTATGTTTTCATTGCCAGTCTTGTTGCTTTTACTTCAAATTATTATGCCCACAATCATGATAGTGATTGTTCTGGCATACTCATTTTTACCTGAGTCAAGTGAGTAAAGTTGTGTTAAGTGCCTTTCCCAAGATCGGTGGCGTGGCAGGATTTGAACCAAATTTGAGTCAAATACTTTGCCATTATGCCACATGCCCCACTGTTTGCTCTTTATCATTAGTTATTGATGGTATTGTTAGTTGGTTGGTTGGGCAGTGGGTTGGTTTGTTGAAGGCAACACTAAAAAACTTGAAATATTTGAATGATTCTACCTAGTCAGTCTGGCCTAAGGAACTGTTTGAAATAATCCTGTATATGTTCTACATGACCTTCACCGTTGTGATAATTTCAATAACATCGTCAATTTCTTTCCTTAATTTTTTTCAGGTTCAAAGATTAGAGGCCAAAGTTGTGCAACCGTTGACCCTATATGGAAACACCTGTAAACATGCTAAGGTAGGTGGGCAACTTTATAGTATTACTACTAGTATCATTTAGTCGGATGCTCTTCATCTTCCAACACTGTACCCTGTGGTAAGTTAAAAAGATAAAGATCCTTCCCGCGTCAAATGACGCATAGGGCAGCGCCCATCTCCGTTTTCAATAGTCCTGGGCCACGCACAGCAGTAAAATCACTATAGCAGAGAAAACAGTATGTACCATTTTTTAAGTCTTTGGTATGAGTTGGCTGGGGAACAAACTCCCAACCTACTGAATGTAAGGCGAACACTTTACCCACTTGGCCATTGCACCGGTTATGTGGTAACCAAGGCTGAACTATTTCTTTTGCATAACTTCAGTGTGAAATGTACAAATCTCCCATTTTGCATGTGTGTTGCAGGAGGACCTGAAGAAGAGTCAGACAGCGCGAGGGAAGGAGCAGCAGCAGCAGCAGAGACTGGAGAAGGCGAGACAGAAGAACCCCAGCGACAGGCACACCATCGTATCCTTACTGTCAATCATACATCTAACTACAGTCTAACCTTCAACATTCACAGTGAAATTCAGTATACATGTATAAACTCAAACTCAAACTTATCCATGTACATGCAGAACTAGGCCACTTTCAGGGCTTGAAATCCCACCTCACCTGCATATGCATGTATGCACCTTAGTGCAGGTACATGTAAAATTGGAGCTGTGCAGGTATTTCTGATGTCTACCTGCACTTAACCTGTACTGGTCCATGTACTGGGTATATGCAGATTAGCGCAGGTAAAATTGGGGCTGTGCAGGTATTTCGGATGTCTACCTGCACTTAACCTGTACTTGGCCATTTACCGTAAAGTGTAAAAGACATAATAGCAATATTTTCTGAACAGTAATGAGTGGTGCATGTAAAGTTGTCTGGTACAGGTTTTCTTTACTTAATACTTGTATGCATTCTAGTACAGGCAACACAAATGCACTTTTTACCAGTGCCACTTCTTTTCTTTGTCTAGTCCATGGGCTAACGCTAATTCACCTTGAAAACAGAATGTAGTAATTGAAATAGATAATCTATAGAAATTCAAAGTTTAAACTTAGGATGATATTCTGTGAGGAAAGGGGATTTTTCTTTAACAGTTTTCCTCAGTCGCAGGTAAATAATCCCAACATGTGGGTAGCGTCTGGTAGCAGTGGATCACTGGCTGTGTCTTTGGTGATCCATCAATCATGTTCACGTCTGTTACTAACGGGGTAATAACTTAATAACACATGCATGGTGATAAAACACTGCACGTCACACATTTAGCAAGGTTGGTGCATTAACTAGCTTTGTCTTTGTTTACTAGTGTTCTTTCCCTCCTCTAACTTTTTAGCTTGGTGTCCATATTAGAATTTGTTTGTAGTTGAGATACAGACTATGTCCAAGTAAAAAGGGAAATCTTTTCCAGTACTGTCTTCTGTTTGGAATCCATGAAAACACTTTGACATGAAAAGGAAATATGTAATACAGTGTATGCTCCGTTTGATAAGTTTTCACACAAAAAGTGGTGAACATATGAACTGTCCTGCTGACTTTAATTTTTTATCAAACATAAAAGTATGAAATCAGCACATTACAATGTAGTAACAGCAGTATCTGTGACATGCCTTTGTGGAAGAATTCCTGTGCGTTATACATAGTACATTGTACATGTATGTAGGCATGTATGTGGTGACTTCTCTTGAGGATAAAGTGATCTCTGAAACGTAACCTGAGTCACTTTATATGAGATAAGTGCAGTTGTTTTACTCTGTATTTAAATTGTGCCTGTGTGAATTTTTCAGGCAGAGTCTGAGCTACAGCGGGCAGCTGTGGATGCCACCAGGTCCGACAGGGCCCTCGAGGAACAAATGGACAACTTTGAAAGGCAGAAGATGGAAGACATCAAGGTTCGTACTTTCAGTTCAGAATCTATTGATAAAGGTACCTTAACCCTTGTCCTGTGGAGCCCATATATGTATATAACATATATATACATGGGTTGCACATACAGTACCATCCATATAACCCCCTGTATATGTACTATTTAGGGGGATTTTTTTGTGTAACGCATCACACCGCAGCAAAACGCAACCAATGCAGAAGTAACTATGCCACCGCAGCGCAAAAAAAGTCAGGGGCCTATGATCTGATTAAGACATCAAATTATTTAAAAAGATATTGTGTAAAAATGCTAGTAGCACAAGGGCTAAAAGGTACACCAACCCACTAGCAGTGACTAGTGAGTCATTTTAAAACTTTCAACTATATACCGGTAATGTTTTTTTCTGCAGCAATGAATGTATTGAACATCTTGTATCTTTTCCTTTCTTGCAGAAAATCCTGACAGACTTTGTGCATGTGGAGATGGTGTTCCACTGTAAGGCACTGGAGCTGTACACAGTAGCAAACCAGTATCTACAGGGCATCAATGATGAAGATGACTTAGAGGTAATATACTGGTTATCTTGGAACGTTTGCAGTTTTTTTAAAAACTGCTGAACAAATGAAGCAAAGTTTTGCCTTCTTGAAAAGCTGTAGTGCAGTTTTCTTTTGCTCTGGAAGGGGGAGTGTGTGATACATAAAGAAATAGCCAGTCAGAGAATGATTTACATGTATGTAAGTATTGTGAATCATTACATACTGTTTGTGTTTCTGCATGTTTCTTAGGTTGTAATGTATATTAAGGTTGGATTCAGTCTGTCCTACAGTATAGGGAGAAAGTCAAGTGTTTTTCGTTACACCACCTCCTTGACAACTGACAGCTGGTGTCGTTTCCCTTGCACAATAAAGAAAAAACTTATAGATACCATGGTGAATACAGTAAGAAGTTACATGTACCATCACACAAGATCTCTGGATTGTTGTTGTACAGGAGTTCAGGAACTCCATGCGGCCGCCCAGCGCCCCTGCTCGGCTGGACCTGGTCAGGGCCAACTCCAAGACTTCCCTCAGGTATGGATTAGTGTCGGACTGGTGTGAAAGTTCTTCTGAGCTGGTACCATACAGTTATTGAATAACTTTGCATCTACACATGTGCAAATTGCAATCAAAAGTTGTACAAATCGTGTTGATTTCTTCCTCTCTAACTCAGCTTATGTTTTGCTATTGTCTATCAGATGCCTTCCTCAGAGCTAAAGACTGCTTCTCGCCGTTATATGTAGCAAAAGTAGGTGGTGCTTTTGCATAAAGAACACAATCCCCAACGGGTCTACGTTTTGTATGTTCTACCAACATGACAAAATTATTTTTGGACTGGTAGGAAATTTTCAATTTTTTTATTGTCTTTTTTGTGTGTGTGTTCTTAGTTCGACAGCGCGGCAGACACCAGGGACGGAGCGGCGTGCCACGGCCGTCAGCAGACCTCAGGACCTGGAGGAGTCAGAGGAGGAGGAGGAGGAAGATGATGACGAGGATGAAGATGAGGAGGATGAGGAGGATGATAGGCACTATAGGAGATAGGAGCAGGAGGAGAGATGTGGGTACCATCAGCAAACCACAAGAGATGAAAATGATGAGGGGACAGATGATACACAATATAATAGGTAAGAAAAGGAGGATTGTGAGGAGGAGATGAAAAGTGGGTACCATCAGCAAACCACAAGAGATGGAGGAGGTAGATGAAAATGATGAGGGAGAGAATGCAGGTAGCAGGTATTATAATAGGTAAGAGGAGGATGATGATAGGCACTATAGGAAATAGGAGGAGGATGGTGAGGAGGAGAGGAGAAGTGGGTACCATCAGCAAACCACAAGAGATGGAGGAGATAGATGAAAATGTAGATGAGAAGGATGAATGGCGCTATAGGAGATGAGTCTATTGTGGTTGGTTGCTGGTATTGTGGTCAGTTTGTTAACTTGGTTATTTGGTTGTTTGGCTGGTTTGTTCGCTGTTTTTTTTTTATTCATCAACGTATTAGAATGAGAAGAATAATAGCAAGGACAATAGCAAGGACTCTGTGGTGCTGCGCTAAACTTCTTTTAATAGTGCCACACAACAAAATACAATTAACACTGTGACAGTGAATTGACATAGCGTTGCTGACTGTTTCAGTGGTTGGTTGGATGGTTGGTTACCAAATGTTACAATATCTTCTGTAATAATGTGTAAATGGACTTTAGATGGCTTTTAACTGCTGTTTTTGTCATAAAAAAGAGCATTTCTATTACAGTTTGTACTTAGTATCAAGCAACCTCTCCAAAGCCATCAGTGTTTTTTGCAAGATCAATAGATAGCAAACATCCTTGACCTGTGTAAAAGGAAGCCTTTAAGTGGTCAATTTTAAAAGCGTCGGCCTCTTTTTACTACTGCTTTTAAGTACTAAGCATCCAGTTTGAAGTACCAGTACTTACTAGTGAGAAAAGGGACGATATGCATATGTACACAAACAAAATGTATGCAGAGTGTTACTGTTAGTTGAACAACTCAGAGATAAAAAGTAATAAGATGTACAACAGGTTTGCCATGTGTAGCTTTTTTTTATTTTTACATACTCAACTATTTTCTGCACCAATGCCAACAACAATATACTGTATATACATGTAGATTGTCAAACAATAGTAGTCATTTTATCAGAAAAAGCACATACATGTACATTGTATCAACAGTAGTCTCTGACAGACTCCTTTGTCAGGTAAATTACTAGGTACATGTACATATGGCAGAGTTGCCTAAGGGTGCTCTGTGATAGGCTAACTCCTCTGTCATCATATATATATATATATATACATGTAGCAAATTTCTAATATTTCTAGCAAATACTGTCATATACTTCTCATAATTTTATTCCAAGTTAGCAACTCTGAAGACACAGTCTTTGAACTCACAGAAAAGTTGGTCAGTGGTAGGAAAGTACTATCCTTTACTCTGGTACCAAAGGACTGTCTGATAACATTACGACTTCATGTTTTAACACTTATTATACTTACCCCACATTTACATACAGTCCAGCAGAGAAAAGGTTAATTGCTCGCCATGGGGTTAACACTACATGTACTGGAGACAAGGGAAACCTTTATCTCAGACTGACATGGTTCTGGCAGAAAATTAGACTGACGTTATTCTCAACTCGTGACGTGACGTACATGCAAAGTGACTCTCACTATCTCAGAGGTCTCATCATTTTCTGATAACATCTCTACACATGTGAACTCTAGTGTGTGGAAGTCCCTCCAACTTTTTTGTGGAAAGGGGTCCATATAAGCATGAATTTCATGCTTTCCAACCCTCTTCATATCAATATGAATATTTAATATAAAGTGTTGTAAACGGGTAAAGGTGAGATAGAATTTTTAGGCCATAGATGCAGTAGGCTCTTAATCCACTGTGTCATGCATCCCTCTAGATCTCCCTCCACACCTTTACCTCTGCAACTGTAAACCAATTTACACATGGGTGGGGTGACAGAAGTTGTGAAAACTTTCACAAGGACTCAACGAATGCCTGGCCTAATGCCTCAGCCATATTGACGTCACAATTAACATAAATATAGTGCTACTAAAATTTACTTACAGTGTAAATTTACTTGTAAACAGTTGCATAAACATTGCAATAAAGCTGCTAAACGTTAATACCATATCACTGTAGAAGACCCCCTTTCCACTATATGGCAGTTGCAGAATTGGAGTTGTTCCACCCTTGGATTCATTGATTGAGTATGCAAAAAGCATGATTAATAAGACAGCAAAACGCCCAAACAGTTTTAAAGAATCATTCTGAAACTTTTTCATCAGTGATCTGTCAAATCAGATCCCTCAGTTTCTACAGCCTCTGGTGGAAAGGAGTTCTACTGTAACAAAGTTCACAAAGGATATGAATACATAAAGCACCACCAGAAAAATCAACAGGAAGATATGTCTTAGATGACAGTTTTTACCACTCCTCGTTGTCGTCATGAGCACGAGAAGGTTCTAGTCACTGCCTTTTTTTTTCTATTTTTCAATTGTGGCTTCCTGTGGGTTACTGATAGTTATCCCAAGTGTGCCTACAGACCAGAAAGCAGATCCTCGTTATTAGCGTTAAATTGGCAATCCTGGCAGGAGTGGGGCACTCGGCCCCAGCGGTAGCAACGCCCAAAGGGCTTCTGGATCAAGGCAGGGCGAGCGACGTGCTAGTGTCTTTATGGGCTAGTTGATGTGGTTAAGTTACAAGTAGGCTTGTAATGTCCTTGGTTGCATGGTATTGATGTTCTTATTGTCCTCATGTCCTCAACACTCTAAAAAGAAACATGCACTCTAACGCACACATTACAATCAAACGCACTAGCTCAACACACACACACACCAACATACACACTCAAACAGCCACACACGCACACACGCTCGATCAAACACAGACACACACTCAAACACGCGCCTCAAACGCGCGCGCGCACACACACACACATACACATACACACACACACACACACACACAGGGAAATATATCTGTCCTTGGTGCTGAACGCCATCCACACACGCATACACACTCAGCAGGCTCACACATGTTCACGCGAGTAACAGGTAAGGTGGTAACTCCGCAGTAACTGTAGTATTCATTGTCCAGAGGAGTGTCCATTAGCCAGCGGACACTCCTATGGACAATGGATACTACATTTTTTTGTACCTTGCCACCGTATGAGCTGCTTGGACATTATAAAATACCATATTTTGGGCTCTTCCGAAGTGTTCCAATCAGAAGTAACGACGTACTTGTGGGCCATTCATACGTCAAAAGTGCACACTCACATACTCCCAATGATTACTAATGCTTACGAAACTAGAGAGGAGCAATATAATGAGCCACTTTACCAGCATCTCATTGTCCAACATTTCATTCTCCACTAAAAACAACCAGAATGCCTTGGCCTACATTAGAAGGTCAGATATTGATCCAAATGTTCAAAGGGCAGCTTGGACTGTCACCCAACCGTGCATTGACTTAAAAGTCAAATAGATTTTCTTATTGAGCTGGTTTGTTAGTTTGGCATGATTGATATATATTAAAGACAAACCTGCTGATTTGGTTTTCTGGAAAGAAATTTAAAGGTAGCCGCATAGCTTTTAGGTCGTATTGGCAGCAGGTTGTTGATAATTGCCGTGTCTAGCTAGGGCATTCCTTCCAATGCCTGACCGAAGTTGGATACTCAGGAAATAATGGACTCATCTTGGGGCTTGTTTCTGTTTTAAATGCCTAAAGTATGAAATAGTAAGTTATTCAAATGTGCTAAGGTGGGGCAGTGTGTGTCGATATCATACAGATTTTATTATTCAGAATATTCCAGTTTTCCCTCCCTGAAATCGCACTGTATGTCTTTAAAGTGTGGCGTGTCCTGCAGCCTTTAGCGGACCAACTCCCCTAGCATGGAATATATCTATTTGGCAAATTTCTTGTCTTTCCAACCCCCACCTGAAGCCTGGTAGAAGCTACCCATTTTACATCTGGATGGAATGAGGAAAGTTGTGTTAACAGTAAAGTGTCTTTCCCATGAAGGTCTACCCAGGACAAGATATAGATATGTGTGGGGTCGTGTGGCGGAACGGCAGATCTCGAGTGCTCGACTCGGAACCAAGAGGTGCCGTGTTCGAATCCTGACATCCCACTGTTGATCTTGTGCCCTTGGGAAAGGCACTAGATATTTACTCTCCAAGCAGAGGCTGATGGTGGAAGATCGTTTGATTTTTATATATGGCCCTTTTTTGTCGCTGTCACCACCAGGGTGGGGAAATGGTTACAGACTGGCCAATTTGATACTGCCTTACCCCCATTAAAAGATCTGCTTGGAGATTATAGATATGGACTTATTAAGGAGTGGCGTGTCCTGGAGCCTTGCTGCAGAGCGCCTTCTTGAAGGCCTCCCGGATAGTGTCGTTCCAGATGGCGTATATGAGGGGGTTGAGGGCGGAGTTGCAGTATCCCAGCCACACGGACAGCACGAAGAGCCATCGCGGGAAGCACTGCCACCACAGCACGCAGAGAAACAAGCCCCAGAATGATTCCTTTGTTTTCTGGGTGGTACCCTAAAAATCAACCCAGGCCTTCCACTAACAGTTTTTTTTGGGGCCAGAATTTGGGGCATTTTGTTCATAAATGTACATTGGGACAGTGTTGTTTCAACTTAGTGTGTAGATAAGTGACTAGAATATTGACTTTGTAAAATCTGGTATCCAAGCCCTAAAAACTGCACTGGAAGCCTCTAAGGCGAAGCGTGTCCCGAATCCTTGCTGCAGAGCGCCTTCTTGAAGAATTTTGTCAGAATTTGTACGTAGATAAGTGACTAGAACATTGACTTTCCAAGCCCTAAAAACAGCACTGGATGCCTCTAAGGAGTGGCGTGTCCCGAAGCCTTGGTGCAGAGAGCCTTGAAGAATTTGTTCAGAATTTTTGGCATTTTTGCTCCATGAATGTCGATGTATATTGGGACTTAGTATGTAGATAAGTGACTAGAACATTGACTTTCCAAGCCCTAAAAACTGCACTGGATGCCCTAAAGAAGGTCTACCCAGGAATCAAACTCGCGACAAGATACAGATATGTAATTATTAAGGAGTGGCATGTCCCGGAGCCTTGCTGCAGAGCGCCTTCTTGAAGGCCTCCCTGATTGTGTCGTTCCAGATGGCGTATATGAAGGGGTTGAGGGCGGAGTTGCAGTAGCCCAGCCACACGGACAGCACGAAGAGCCAGCGCGGGAAGCACTGCCACCACATAAGATACGTGAAGAAACAAGCCCCAAGATAAGTCCTTTATTTTCTATGTGATACCCTAAAAATCAACCCAGGTCCTTACAGTAATATTTTTTGGGTCAGAATTTGGGGCATTTTTGCTCCATGAATGTACATTGGGACCGTGTTGTTTCAACGTAGTATGTAGATAAAGGACTAGAATATTGACTTTGAAAAATCTGGTTTCCAAGCCCCAAAAACTGCACTGGATGCCTTTAAGGAGTGGCGTGTCCCGGAGCCTTGCCGCAGAGCGCCTTCTTGAAGAATTTTTGTCAGAATTTTTGGCATTTTTGCTCCATGAATGTCGATGTATATTGGGACTTAGTATGTAGATAAGTGACTAGAACATTGAATTTCCAAGCCCTAAAAACTGTACTGGAAGCCTTTAAGGAGTGGCGTGTCCTGGAGCCTTGCTGCACAGCGCCTTCTTGAAGGCCTCCCTGATGGTGTCGTTCCAGATGGCGTAGATGAAGGGGTTGAGGGCGGAGTTGCAGTAGCCCAGCCACACGGAGAGCACGAAGAGCCAGCGCGGGAAGCACTGCCACCACAGCACGCACAGCAGGTAGAACGTGAAGAACGGCAGCCAGCACAGCGTGAAGGTCACCATCACCTGGAATACAGTATAATACAATATGTGTTTAGAGTTAAAACATTTGGTCCAACACAGAAATTCTCTCACCTAGAGTTTTCGACCAGTCACTCTGGTCTTCCTCAGTAGACTGACCCAGTGAGGCTTGTCACGTGGCTTCTTTGTCCACTGAGGAAGGCCAGAGTGACTTTCGAAAGGTCTATTTTTGTGTTGGACCAAACGTTTTAACTCTAGTGAGGATGCCACCACAGAAATTATCACACAGAGCATAAAACAACTGAAAATCTGGATAGAATGTGGGAGGCGCATGTTTAGTTACAGAGGAGCTAGTCGCTGGAATGAAATAGCCTCTACCAGGCTTCGGGAGGCGACTGGAAAGAGTAGAAATCGGCCAAATAGAGAGATAGCATGCCGGGGGAGTTGGTCTGCTGGGAGAAAACAGTTTGCCGCTCCCGAAGCCTGATAGAGGCTAGGAATGAGATTCCACAGACTATCAAAGCAGCTACTATCGTTTCTGCATCACAGTTGACCTCTCATTCACTCGATGCGAACCCATGCATCACAATGAACACAAACATTACTCATATAGGGTAGGGTGACACCCACCGCATCAAACTGCGTCAAACGCTATAAATTGTGATTTTCCTCCTTCAGACGTATGTTAAAAACTTGGTCTGACTTCTGATGACCTCATCTGACTTAATGACGAATCGGGCCGGTATATGGACTATGGGTATGGATAATGACTTTGTGTTTGTAGATTCTTGCATGTGTTTGTTTTGTCCTGTTAGTACGTCTGTTCGTTTTGCCATATTTTTTTGTTTCTTGTATTATTTTTATGTGTCCTGTGTCCAGGGCCCCACTGCAATGCAGTGCAATCAGAGTGGGCTAGCCTGGATGCCAGACCCATAGCACACTGGACCCAAAGTATCTCGGTGACCACACAGGATAACTTGGGCCCAGTGTGCTATGGATCTGGCATCCAGGCTTTGAGTGGGCTACCCTGGCAGAATAAAGTAACAGAGTAAAACAGAATTTAAAAAAAATCACCACGCCGATGATGAAGACGAAGCGGCGCTCCCGTCGCTGGGCCGCGCACTGCCGCATGGGGGAGCCCATCTCCAGCAGGTTACGCATCGAAGGCATCTCCGGCTGCGGTGCGCTGGCATTGCCGTCTCCGCCGCTAGTACTCTGCGACGACCTGTAATTGTTATGCATATAAGTAAGTATCGCGTTCAAGAATTCATTCTACTTTCCCTGAACTACCGCAGAGCGGAACTCGCTGTCACCAAGTACAGTAGGGGCATTGTCATTAAATGGCCTTAAACAAAGTCTAGAGTTGGATGTTCAAGGGCTAGGTGTAACAAGTCGATCGGTGTAATGTAGCCAGCTGCCGCCGCGCCGCGTACCTGCGAAGCTGGTGTGTTACGTCGAAAGGCGGTTATACCGGCTATACAGATAAAGATACAGACAGATAGATACAGACAATCTACGTGAAGATTGTTATTAAGATTGTTGTCGTTTAACTGCTCGTTTAACTGTTTGTTGTTGTTGTATATAATTGTAGCTACTAAGTTTCAAATTGTTCATATTTCATCTTTTAAATGTAAAGGACTCCATGAAGACAAGTAAACAAACTTTGTATTACTAATGGAGATTCCTAATTACCTTTGCATATGGTCTGCTCTGTTAATTCTTACTCAACCATATTCACATAAATGGTGACAGGAGTCTAAATCCCTCCTACTATAAAATTGCAACATCCAACACCAGTTACCATGGTGAGAGACAGTCTGGTTTAGTCAGGTCAGAGGTCACTGTTTGGAGAAGAAGAAGAAGAGGAGGAAACTTAGCAAAAACAATATGTTTTTCTTTGGTAAGGCCACACCAAGTAAATTTTATGGATGACGTCCGCGCGCGCATTGATTTTGGCCCGTTCCTAGAAAAAAAAACAAGAAATTCTGCTTCCTGTAACTATGACCAAAGAGTCACGACAGTGCCACAAATCATCAGATTGACGTGAAACCCGTAACGCGAAAACAGGACAGGACGACAACTGCTGTTCCACCTGATTTATTGCTGTTTTGATGATGAATAAAAGACTTCTTGCTTGTTACACTGTGTCACCTCATTCAATTTGTGTCCTAACATTTGTTGTCTCTTAGTATATTTCTAATCTAGGCATCTTGTTTTTTAGGGCCTTTCTTGTTTGTTTTTTCGCCCTCTCGCATTAGATTTAGGGTCTCCAAAGGACGTCATCCATAAAATTTACTTGGTGTGGCCTAAACGTAATAAACATAAACTACAACCTGGCGTGCCATTTGGCCGTGAGGAGTGCCGGGCACAGCAGCATGTTTAAGGGCCGGGGTTGGGGTGGGATCGCCGGCTGGTCGTCCTTGCGTCGCCGCAGCATCGGGGAGGTTTTCGGGGCTTCCACGGTGGATGCGGCTTCCAGACGGCCGGGAGACAGAGGAGACAGGTCCGGACCCGACACAGACCTGGAAAGAAACCCACAGTGGGTGTCGCTGGAAGGCAGGTGAAAAATGCCCAGACTGTACAAAGTGCCTAATTAAATGCTCCAACCACTAAGTATCTGACACCAGCCCAGAAAACAACAAGAAACAAGTCATGCCTTTATCAGCGTTATCTACTAAGAATTGAGGCCTCCTGTGCAAACACGGGAGGTATACTGGTAGAGCGGGCGGGTGGGTGTGAGTTTTGATACTGCGTTTTGTAGAATTTTTATCGCGTTCTCTTGCCGGCCATCCTACAACCAGCTGCCCAGAGAAGGTTTGTAGGATGGTGCCGGCAAAAGAACGCGTTGAATTTCTACAAAACGCAGAATCAAAACTCCAACCCACCCGGAGGTCTGCACAGGAGGGTAGGTTATACCGGCTATACTGATACTAGTATACAGATACAGACCTCTCCAGCCTGTGGCCGATGTTCCCGTTCAGAGTGAGGAATCTGGTGCTCTTGAACTCTGTCTCCTTCTCGGGCTCAGGGCCTGCCGCCGCTTCCCCGCCGTTTCGGCTGGTCCCGTCCGCCGGCTTGGTCGGGACGGCTGGCGCTGGGCAGCCTTCCGGGCTGGACTTGGGCGTGGCCGAGTCGCGGGCCGGGGAGGAGTCGGTCTCCTCGTCTGCAATCTCCGGCACCTGTGCAAGATCATGGAATGATCAATCGATTGATTGATTTTTTTCTTATATATTCCTACATTTCATGACTAGACATGGTGACGGCACACTCAAGTTATATCAACTTATTTTATGCCTCGACCAAGAGGACAAACATGAGGACAAGTACATGAAGTGAGGAAAGTCGTGTAAAGTGCCTTTCCCAAGGACACAAGATCGGTGGCATGTCAGGACTCAAACCCGGAACCTCTTGCACTTTGCCGTTACGTGCACGATAAAATCCACATAAAGAAAAAACGTGACTTTATTGCCCTCATTAAAGATTCTTGATCATCTGTTGAAGAGCCTTGAAAAGTACATTTTTTTTCAAACAAATGTAACAACCGGTGTTTCTCATACACTCAAGCCAAGGCTCAACGACCCAATTTGTGTTCCATAAAAATAGATCTAGACACCTCTGGCCACCCTGATTGCTTTCGTCTTATTCTTTTATCTATCTGTCAACTGAAGAGAAATAAAGAGGCTGTTTGAAAAAGCCGGTGCAAATCATTATCTTATAAAGCGGGCCTCATTATAAGCTCTATATATACTAGTAGTCCACAGCGGAAGCTCTGAAGTAATAAGATGTTCATATTCCACAAGAGCGCGTGAACAAGGAAACAGAGGGATGCACAGGTGGGCAATTACACAATTCCGGTGTCGGTAGCTTGGGACCAAAGGCATCAAACAACAGAGTAACTCCCACACTATTTGCTTTATTTTTGTGGGGCGGGGGATCTCTGGGGCACTAGGACTACGCGTGGTGAAAGAATGTCTAAACGGGACCTAAAAAAATCGACCATACTACCTGCAAATTGCATGTAGTATGTTTGTTTAAACATCTTCCCCTTATTTTGCGAACAGGTAGCTATCTTAGCCACCTTTCTGCCTGGCCCGCTTCGTTTCGAAATTCTATAGAGTCCGATGATGTAAGTCGTGAGTTCGATCCCCGGCCGAGTCATGCCAAAGACTTTAAAATGGTACATACTGCTTTCTCTGCTTAGCATTTAAGAATTCAAAGAGTATGGGAGTCAAACACACAACACTACCAGTGGACTAGCCCCCTGCTGTAGTGATTGCACAATTGTGTGGCCCAAGGGCAACGAAACGGAGATTGGCGCCGCTATATGCGACCATGCCAATAGTTGTAGGAGGGCTTTAACTTAACTTTAACTAGTCTATTCCAACAAGTCCGAAGTTTCGTTGTAAGTTGAAAATCCTGAATCGCAGCACAGTTTCAATTGGATGAAAAGTTAACGTTTTCTTCATTGGCAATGGGTACAAGGCACCAGTGGAATATCCTCTCGTGCATGAATATAAACCATTTTGCTTGTGTGCGTCACCACTATGTTTTGTACTATTGTTTGCACGTTGAAATAACATAGAAAAAGAATGTCCGGATCCTTTCGACACATTGACGCAGATGCCAAGCTGTTGTTGAGAAACACGGTGTGACAGGCTGAATAAAAGTTCTAAACAGGAACTATGCTGCTCCAGATGTCTTACTGAGGGACGACTGCGTGTGCAAGATGTCGGTTAGCTTGAGGAATGAATCCCCTCTACTATATCTGTTGTTGAGAAACATGTTCGTAATGGCAATTACCGTCCAATTATAACTGTTTATTCCTCAACACGCGGGCTCAGAAACTGTGTCCCCTCCCCTGAGTCGGCACCGTGCCGGGTTGGGACGGCGGGACCCAGCCGTGGGACGCACGCAGGAAGTACGGCCAACTTTTCACGAAGCTAATTGCTCTCTCACACAATACCTCTGGCGTCAAACCTGCACCACAGGCGTAGCCGTGTGATAATTGAGCCCTGGAGCTTTACCGGTTAACTTCTTATGGCCCCCCTAGGAGCAGGATGTACACAATCTCTTGCTGCCAATAGGGGCTAATTGGTCCCAGCTTCTAGGAGAACGTACACTAGAATGTAAAGGCCACTAGTAGCGACTGAGGCCCACTTTAGACTGGGAACGGTTACACTATCCCGAAACCCTTTGCCACCGGTGACCCATGGCATTGGCAACTGGTCATTCGAACCTGAAGAAGGCTGTAGTAGAGACCAACCACAGTCGCTAAGAGTTCTATATAACTGGAACGTAAACTGGAACTGGAAATTAAATTGTAAATATCAATGAATGTCATTCAGACAACATTATATGTATGTCTGCAATGTCGATATACTAGAAACTGCAGCTGCTCCGCTCGGAGACCTTCTGCTCTAGTCCATTCTGGAGCCACTACTGTAGACTGGTCCGCCCACCGTAAGGGCTCGACAGCCTTTTATCTATTTGCACTTACTTAGATGTTTTATTTTAGATGTGTTTGTGTAATGTTGTGTGTCTGTGCTATGGGCCATTGAGCCTGCAATAAACAATAAATACTAGTAATAATAAAAAAAAAAATGAATTGAAACATGTAATAAATCTCACCTCCTTCCTGGTTGGGCTCATCTCCCCGTCCTCCGCGGACAGGTTGCGGCTCTTGAAGGTGTTGTTGGTGACGGTTGAGCAGGAGTAGCCCTTCCCCAGCTTCCGGCGCCAGTTGTTCCGCGACCGGTGAGAGTTCAGGATCATGGCGTAAAGCGTCGCCATGACAACCAACGGGATGAAGAACGACAGCGTGCTGGAAGGAAGGAAGTCGGTCTCCCATTGGTCAGTTTGAATTCGAATTTGAATTATTTGAATTTTTAAAATTTGAATTTTTTTGAATTTGAATTTTTTTCAAATTTGAATTTAAAGAGAGACTACATGTCTGAAATATTTCATGAATTTAAATTGAATATCTCAATAGCTGTTTGCTGTACCATCGAAATAGACATACCATGATCAACACACAGGATATAACATTGCAAACTTATTTTGATGCACGATGTTTGCACGTATAAAATGACTATAGTTGACTGAAAAAAAACAACGAAAAATATAGTCGAAGGCTGTTCCAAAGTTTCTTCTGAATTTGTTTAAACTTTTGGATTTCGATAGTCCGCGAAAGTGTGTCTGTCTCTAGCGTCAAACTCTGCACCACAGGCGTAGATGTGCGGTAATTGAGCCCTGGAGCTTTACTGGTTAACCTTAAGGCTTCCTGGGGGACCTGTGTTACTGTGTTACACAATATCTCGCTGCCAGGTGCGAATTGGTCCCCTCTTCTTGGGGGCCGATCAGTTGGTTTGGTTGGTTTCTTTTTCGTAGTTTAAGTCTGACACATAGGATCGGAATATGCTTTTAGAAGGCTTTGACGAACTACGCAACCTGGTAAAGAGATGGAATATAGGGATGTTCGACTTACGTGACACTGGCGAAAAGTAGTGGATGCTACTTGAAACGTCTGATAGTTTTCAAATTTAAACCTATCCAGTTGCCTGAGTAACATTTTCCTTGTGTAGAAGGCTTTGTCTTGTCCACTGAAAACAGCCACTGAGTCTCACCTTGACAGGACCACGTACGGGAAGAAGGAGCTGAGCCCGCACATGCCGTCCCCCACGCCGTGCTCCTTCCCCCAGCCCATGAGAGGCGGCAGGCAGACCGTCAGCGCCAACACCCACACCGCCAGAATCAGGCCGCCGACACGCGTGGAGCTCTGCAGACGGGCGTAGTTCAGCCTGGGGGAGAGAGGGAATGAATGAATGAGTGAATGAGTGAGTGAGTGAGTGAGTGAGTGAGTGAGTGAGTGAGTGAGTGAGTGAATGAGCGCCAGCACACCGCCAGGATCAGGCCGCCGACGCGCGTGGAGCTCTGCAGACGGGCGTAGTTCAGCCTGGGGGAGAGAGGGAATGAATGAATGATTGAGTGAGTGAGTGAGTGAATGAATGAATGAGTGAATGAATGACGGCCCATGAGAGGCGGCAGGCAGACCGTCAGCGCCAAAACCCACACGGCCACGATCAGGCCGCCAACCCGCGTGGAGCTCTGCAGACGGGCGTAGTTCAGCCTGGGAACCAGGGTGAGATATTAAGATATTAGTGAATGAATTGATGGATGGATGGATGGATGGATGGATGGGTAGATGGATGGATGGATGAATGAATGAATGAATGAATGGATGAATGAATAGATGGATGGATGAATGAGTGAATGAATGAGTGAATGAATGAATCAGTGAATGAATGAATGAATGACTTTATTGCGCATTTTTACCACATTAGTATAAGTACAGGTCACAAACAAAACTTGATCAGATACAGTTAACACTCAAAGTTCACGTGGTAGGGAAATCCAGGCCATAGCCATTGTGATGGTAGGTTTGGAAACTTTCCGTAGACTCATGTACATTGTCTAGTCCATTGGCGTAAAAGCAACATTGTTCTAGCAAGGAGGTTTTACCTCTTTGGTTTTAGATAGTGGCTCACTGACGGCTAAGCGCTGAATATACTTTAGATATTCATCAGCCTTCTCCACCCTGCACAGGCCTAGCCTTTTTAGCTACCGGTAGCTGATCTTGGGGAGCGGACGAAAGCTAATAAGGCTGACTACACTCAGGCTGCACAGTACAGGTCGACATGCGGTCGGACAGGAGGCGGATGATTATTCAAGGAAAAGCGAACTGAAGACCGTAAGTATCTATTGACCTAGATGTTTCTTCTGCAACGTACTGCTGTCAAAAGAGGATTTTCAATGCAAGAAACTACTTGGCAACATTGATGGGCGTGGCAGGAAATCTTTTAGGGGGGATGTTGATGACTGAATTTGCACCCTGGAAGCTGAAAACGTGAGCCATCACGCCCTTTGCGGGTCCAACTAAATTTTGACATCTTAACCCTCCGATACGACATTTTCTGCATTTTGCAGGGGCTGGTACACCTAGCTAAGATTCCTTACTGAGAATTGAACTGTTCTCTACAACTCAAGAAAATTGACTGACCGGAGGTGAGTAGGGGAACAGTATAAATTTTACCGACTCAGATGAACTTACATGCAAGCTAAGATATTCCTTATGAGATCTTGGATTCTTGCTAGACGGCCTCCACATTCCTTCAGTCATTCTCCGTGGTTCTAGCTGCGCAGGGCCAAAGCTATTAAATTTTGTATGAAAGCACATTTCGTCCACACGAACTTCTTTATTCTACCACCGCTGCCGTCTATTCCGTATGATTTATGCTGCGTTTGATGGGGAAAGTAGCCGACAGAAGAGAGAGAAGATGGAGAAAGTCCATCTCCATCGTGTCATCTCAAGGTCTTTAATCTGCGAAACCATTAAGATGAACGGGGTAGCGCTACTTGAGGAGGTGATGGAACCTTGGGAAGGTGGAGGACTTGATGGATCAGTCCGGGATAAGAAGTGAAGTCTTGCGTGCGTAACGCCTTGTTTGCGTACGTGTATGAAGTGTATGTGGGCGGGCGCCTCGCCACCCGTACGTACAAGAGTTAAGGCCACAGCAAGTAATTTGTATGGATGACATCCTCCACAGACTCTAAGTCTAATGCGATAGGGTGAAAAAATCAAGGCGGGCCAAAAAAACAACAAACAAGATACCTACATTTTCAAATTTTGACATCATAAACCTTGTTGATCAGGAAATGATACGTATATTGTGCTAAGTTTACTGCCAACTTATACAACATCCATTTGTCACTGAAAAAAAACTTTGAAAAATAAATCACTGTACGAATGTTTTTGATTCAGATGGAACATCACATATACACAGCCACTATGACATATAAAATGAATTAAATACAAACAAATGTACATCACTTAATCAAACTAAAAGACAAATCATTCATCGCATTGTCTTGTCTCCTTTTTCATATCTATCTGTCATCCACGTTCAGGCGAAAATCTAAACTCAGGCGAAAATTATTGCGCGCGCTGATGTCATCCATAAAAATTACTTGCTGTGCTTGATAGGATAGCTGTGTTACCGGCGTTTCCATGGCGACACGTGTGGTGTCCAGCCGTGTGCGCGTGTTGCTTATTGACGTCACAACCTGCCGAATGCAAGGTGGGCACTGCTCTACCCACTTGGCCATTACGCCGGTTTCTTTTTAACTTAAACATGTCTGTCCTTGGTGCTGAACACTATCCACACACAGGCAAACGTGCCTGTCCTTGGTGCTGAACACCACACACACACACACACACACACACACACACACACACACAGGCAAACATGCCTGTCCTTAGTGCTGAACACCATCCACACACAAACATGCCTGTCCTTGGTGCTGAACAAAAACAGCTTTGCAAAATAAGTTGAGACAGCCCTTTTGTTTAACTCCTTTTAAAGAAGGTAGCTGTGTTTACGGCGTTTCCATGACGACACGTGTGGTATCCAGCCGTGTACGCGTGCGGCTTGTTGGCGCCGTTTCCAATGGCAACCGTCACCAGGCGAGTTTTTTCAACGTACAACAATACAATACATAGTGGTGACGCACGTAAGCGATATGGCTCATATTCACGTCACCACTAGACATAAAATGAAAATTACAACACAACACAAGACAAAACAATGTCACATGGGTAAGGTCCAGGTAACAAGAAACAGACTTAAGCTATTAAAATGTTATAAATTAATGCGGTACTACAAATCAGTTATCAAATCGCTTGGTTTCAGAAAGGTATAGCAACCAGGTTGTCCTTGGGTAGATCTGAGTGACGGTTAGCTACCAGGAAATCACCAGGACGTCTGAAAACACGTGCCGACCCTGCGGAGCTTCGTTTACCAGACGTCAGGAACACAGTTGGAACGTAACGATGTTAAGGAAGAGGAGGGTTAGACACACTGCGGGAAACGGTGCATATTTTATCAAATTTCCGCGCTGCTGTCGACGCCGGTAATACTCATGATTTACTTGACGAGCGCGCTGCAGGCAGAACGTGCTGGGCAAATTGAAGAAGGATTCTTGTAGAAGGATTTCTGTCCACTGAAAACAGCCACAAGTTTCAAGTTTATTTATTTTACCAGGGCATACCTCAACAGCCACAAGTTTCAAGTTTATTTATTTTACCAGGGCATACCTCAGATCCGTTGATCTGATTTTCAGGTATCCCTGGGCCACAGTCTCACTTTTTTTTTAATATTTCAACATTTAAACAGAACAACACATGGAGGTGACGCTTATAGTTTGTATTAACGTCACCACATGAGATAAAAAATATGAAAAGGGACACGCCCGACATAAGACGTTTGTCCTTGGTGCTGAACACCATCCACACACGTGTAAACATGTCTGTCCTTGGTGCTGAACACCATCCACACACATGTAAACGTGTCTGTCCTTGGTGCTGAACACCAACCACACACAGACATGTCTGTCCTTGGTGCTGAACACCATCCACACACATGTGAACATGTCTATCCTTGGTGCTGAACACCATTCACGCACAGACAAACATGCAAATTTGCCATGAGAAAAAAAATATTAAAAGAGTCACGTCCGATATAACAATTTCGACGACGTTATCTGTATACGGTCTGAATCAGCAGAGAAATTGCTTAATTTCAGATAAGTTTCTGAAAACATGCATATCTTCGCGATGTGGAACTGCCGACCCTGAGCCGCTTGATCTACCAGGCGCAGAACTACAGTTAGGACATAACGAAGTTCAGGAAGAGCTCGAGGCGACGTAAGACTCGCTGCGTGAAACGGAGTGGATTTTATCAAATTTACCCGCTGGTGTCGAGGCCGGCAACACTCATGATCAAAGGAAATTAATGAGCGCGCTTCAGGCGAGTTTCACTATAAATTGCCGGGCAAAAATGGTTTAACGTTAATCGGAGTAATATAGTTAGCTGCTGCCGTGCCACGTGCCTGCGAAGCAGGTGTGTTACGCTGAAGGGCGGTTATACCGGCTATACAGATACAGATACAGGAGCTGGTTGTGTTAAGCCAAAATGCGGTTATAAAATTACCGTCTATACAGATACAGAAGCTGGTGTGTTACGCCGAAGTTCGGTTATACCGGTTATACAGATACAGAAGCTGATGTGTTACGCTGAAGGGCGGTTATACCGGCTATGCAGATACAAAAGCTAGTGTGTTACGCTGAAGGGGGGTTATACCAGCTATACCGATACAGATACAAATACAGCAGCTGGTAGTGTTACGCCGAAGGGCGGTTATACCGGCTATACAGATACAGAAGCTGGGGTGTTATACTGAAGGGTGGTTATACCGGCTATATAGACATAGAAGCTGGTGTGTTACGCCGAAGGGCGGTTATACCGGCTATACAGATACAGAAGCTGGTGTGTTACGCCGAAGTCCGGTTATACTGGCTATATGGATAGAGAAGCTGGTGTGTTACGCTACCAAGTTTCATGACAAACCATCTAAAGCACACACACCACACACACACACACACACACACACACACACACACACACACACACACACACACACACACACACACACACACACACACACACACACACACACAGGTGAACATATCTTTCCTTGGTGCTGAACCCTATACACACACAGGTGAACATGTCTGTCCTTGGTGTTGAGAACCATCCACACATGTAAACACGTCTGTCCTTGGTGCTGAACACCACACACACACACACACACACACACAGGCAAACATGTCTGTCCTTGGTACTGAACACCATCCACACACATCTAAACATATCTGTCCTTGGTTCTGAACACCATCCACACACATGTAACCATGTCTGTCCTTTGTGCTGAACACCATCCACACACATGTAACCATGTCTATTCTTGGTGCTGAACACCATCCACACACATCTAAACATATCTGTCCTTGGTTCTGAACACCATCCACACACATGTAACCATGTCTGTCCTTTGTGCTGAACACCATCCACACACATGTAACCATGTCTATTCTTGGTGCTGAACACCATCCACACACATGTAACCATGTCTATTCTTGGTGCTGAACACCATCCACACACATGTAACCATCTAGCCCACCCAAGCAAAAGTGCAGAATCGTGTGGCACAAATTCAAAAAGTTCAACTATTTTCTGCAAAGGAGTTCATAGTACCACAATTTCCATTGAACCACACTTTTTTCTGCACTAACGAGATATAAAGAAAGAAAGTACAATGTATATAGAGAGCTCTCGTTGGCTGAGGGGTAGTGGCCATGTTCCAAGTTGCTATAACCCGTGGGTGGTTTAAAGTAATCAAAGACCACACGACGATAAACCCGCTAGGTTCTCTTTTTCACGTGAGTCGAGTGAGGCAGTAGGTGTTAAGTGCGGTTCCCCAGGGCACAACATCGGGGGCTGAAAAGGATTTGATTGAGCGGGGTGGAGAGAGAAGTTGCTTCAAAACGACAGTTTCTAACACTGTGCGCCGAAGCAACGTCTCAAAGTGCACCCGGAATTATTCATCGTACATACAAGAAAGGCCTGATGGCTGATGCACAGTGAGCGACAAAGGAGCGGCACGGTCTCCAGATCCACACCCTTACCTACAGCAGAATAAACACTCTTCTTTTCAGGTCGGCACGGCATGTCATATTCAGGCAAAGCTGCCCCGGGGAGGTTCAGGCTAGGCAATCATCGGCATATTCAGTCATACACGGGCGAGGAAACATGAAAACATCAGCTCACAGATCAGTGGAGTAAGGGTAAAAGAACATATATATGCCAGGTGCATTTTTGAACCGGTAACGCTTTGACGAGGTCTACCTGTAGCATCCAAACTAGAAAATGCATGTATTCTTCCACAAGAACGTAACGTGTTCAATTCAGCATAAATTGATTTCAAATGTAACCACTTCGGCAGTTTGGACTCTATTGTCAACTTAGAAATACGGGAAATTATATTCTTTAAAAGTCAGCTGTTTGGTTCATTTGGTAGCCTTCTGGCTACAAGGTGTTTTCTTGACTAAGGACGTGCTCACACAGTCAAAACGTGATTTCAAACATATTAACCAATCTTCCTCGGCCTTGGAGATATCCTATTTTCAATTGAAAAGTACAGGAAATTAAACTTTACATGCCAGCTGCATTCGGCCTTTGACCAGCGCTATCCGTGCATAAATGACAAATACCGAAATAAGTTGGTTTTTTTTGTATAAGCAGCGCGATGACACCACATTAGGAATATCAGGAACAATAACAGTATTGCTTATCATTAATGGTACGACAATGCTTATTTAGCCTTTTATGTCCGGAGCTCGCGATTGTTTTTCACTTATCCACTGGCATACAGTTGTACAGCTTTCATGCATTCATTTGTGTCGACTGAAGGCCAAGGCTGCCCAACTAGCATGGGGCTATTATTATGGGCGAAACTTGAGGCTAACAAGAGTCGGGGTTTTGCCAGGCATCTGCCCGGGTGACTTGTTGTAGTGAATCACCGAGTCCGGACGGTAGAATTCGGACCATCGCACACTTGTTCATCTACTGTTATACAATGATTGTGTGGGGTCGTGTGGCGTAACGGCAGAGGGTTCGTCTCGGAACCAAGAGGTCCCGGGTTCGAACCGATCTTGTGCCGATCTTTCCGCACTTCACTCAGGTGAAAATGAGTTCTCTGTGTTGGAGGCGACATACAAATACGTTGAAAAAATTGAGTGTGCCGTCACTGACAGCACACAAAATTTTTGGCCCGTCACCATGGCTCTTGCGCCACGCTAATGTTCTCAACCCCACCCCTTACTTGCCCTGTCCAAGATACTGAAAGCATTAGCGTACGGGAAGCAACAAGTGCTATCTGTAATTACATGTTGGAAAAAGTGAGTGTCCTACCTCGTTGACGAGTGCGAACGGCATAAAACATTGAGTACATAAAATACAGTTTGTACTACATTGAACGCTAAATACTGTATCAAAATATTAAAACAACACTATGTACTTGTTCACCTACTGTTATACAACGATTTTGTCCTACTCTCCAAGCAGAGGTTTGAGTTTTGGATTATTTTGGCCAAAATCACTTGCCAAAAATGAGCCCAAACCAAAACCTCTGCTTGAAGAGTAGGGCGAAGTCGTTGTATAACAGTAGATAGTGTACAAGTACATAGTGTTGTTTTCTTGGAGAGTAACTGTCCTACCTCGTTGACGAGTGCGAACGGCATGACGAGCAGCCCGACGGTGAGGTCGCTGACTGCCAGGGAGACCAGGAACCAGTGGTGGGGGCGCCGCAGCTTGCTGTCCGTCAGGCAGGCGTAGATCACCAGGCTGTTTCCCACCACGATGATGCAGATCACGGGCGACATCAGGGCGACCAGGAGGGTCGTCACGATCGGGCTGTACGGGGTGTCCGGCGGCAGCAGGGCCAGGCACACCCGCGGCAGATCGGCCGTCGAGTTGGACACGGAGGCGTTCATGCCCGTATGATCACTGAGGGCACTTGCACCACAGAAAGTAGCGTTCATTTTTGTGCGTGGCCGGGAAGAAGTTTAAATTTACAAAAGAACGTCGTAGGGGACGAAGCTGCGATTTGAAAACTAGCTCCCACCTTTTTATAGCAAAGTCAGCAAAACGCAGACCTGTTCTGAAGAAAACGAGAAAAAAAGGTATTTTCTTGCTCTTTCCCTACGCTAAATCGAAGCGCTCAAAAAAAGGACTGAAGCATGTCGTCGCTAGACCTGTTTCTGGCGAGTGTTTCTAGAATGGACTGAAGGCAGCCAGTGAACACACACCCACACCACTTGTAGATCTGGCACTGGTGTGTGCTTCCCATCAATCGACTAACTCAGAGCAGCTTTCGCTCCGCCAGCGAACGGACGAACAAAGACGCAGAACTGCACTTTGCGGGAGCCGGTGGCGCACTGCCAATGGGCAGCGTGCATCGCCGGCACGTACTGCGCATGTCGCTTATCGGACTGGAAAATTCCTCTATCAAGTCACGTACGGAATAACCGAGCGAGTTTCAGCCCCGTTGGATACTGCCTGCATGAATCTTCATAATTTATTTGTTGGTAGAAAACACGTGGCATAAAATTAAAGGCATCAAATTGCTATGCGATTTCATGCGACAAAACATCGAACAACAAATATTCTGGATTTGTCTGATGTTGACATTTACTGCAATTTCTTAGCACATTTTTGCCATAATTTTATACATTAAGCGTTACGCTATTACTAAACGCCACTTGACTCTCTAACTTGACTCTAACGAAGAACTGTATTCCCTCCCCACCCCTTACTGGCTCTGTCCATGGTGCTGAAGGCATTAGCGCGCGGGAAACAACAAGTGTTATCTGTATATACAGCGTTGTTATATGTATATTTCATTTTAGTGTCTTTTGTTGGGGAGACAACTTGTAAAGGCAACCTTCGTATCCTGTTTTGTCTCCACCCTTCTATTGTAACATATGGTAAAATCTAATAAAAATGTGGTGAAACTAGATGGATAGGTGTGTGTGTGGGCGGAAGACCAATTTAAGGTTTCTTTTCGCCTTGTCAAGATGTGTTTATTGGTTAAGTACAAGTTATTATGTACTATAACATATATAAGATATGTTTGAAAAAAACAATATCAGGTGTTACATGTGCGTCTAATACAACTGTTAGTAAAGATTTTCAGTAGTTGCGATGCTGGTGGCTGGAAAACATTTGACAGCTTATCAGTTAAAAAGACTCCTTGCCAGTTTGAAACATTGTCATGGTCATGGACTACTAGCCTAATTGTTGGACTTGTTTGGTATGATCTAGGTGTAGTTTTTTCACATTGGCGACGTAATATCTGTCCGTTTGGAGTGTTTGTAAGATTGCGAAAAGGCGACAGCTGCGATGGGGGCATCTTACATGTGTTACACAACACCCATATTTAGTTGTATCATCAGTGCACTTCCAAGTAACGTCACTGGAATGATTCGAGTACACACATCACAATGTTTGAATGTTTACGCCTAGCCTGTACGTACGCCCCGCCAAATATAGTCATTTCATCTTTGGTTCTCATTCTCCTGCTAACCCATTACACGTTCGTATTGACACCCGAAGCTTAAACCATCGTATTTTGTACAACTCTACTAGTAGCTGCGTGAGTCCATACAAAACGATCTCTATTTACCTACTGCACTGCCCTACATATAGCGTTACTTAACGGCGTAGCCTCTACCAGGCTTCGGGAGGCGGCTGGAAAGCTAGAGGAGAAATTGGTAACATTCCAGGGTGTAGGTTCGCTTGCAAAGCACAATTTGCCGCAAGCGGACCAACTCCCCCGGCATGTTATCTCTCTATTTGGCCAATTTCTCCTCTTTCCAGCCGCCTCCTGAAGCCTGGTAGAGGCTATGGCAGCGTTCAGTTATCTTTGGCAAACCTGCTGGATTTTTTAACACACAGTTTCAAAGCTTTACTAGCTTTAAACAACTAAAGGCTGTAGTGGATACAAAAGAAAATATCTAGCGGCAAAAACGAAGTTTGTTGACCCTCCTTTTCTTTAATTCTACCATGTTGCCAGCTGTATCCAGGTAACGGTCTGTCAGATGTCGTATTTCTCGCAGATGTGACGCGTCAACGTAAAAACGTAATTAAAAAACGTAATTGAAAAACGACAGGGGTTATATCAAAATGACTTATACAATATTGTCGGCGTCATTATGAAGAGGGTGGTTTACGTGTTGTGCGATATGCCCAAGGGCTGTTACTATACCAACTGAACAATAGAGACTTAGATAAAGAAGAAAATCATCATGTAAAGGATGCAACATAAAATACAATTTCTGAGGAAATCTGTCTGATATTGATATTTACTGCCAGTTCTTGGACATTTTGGTCATCATTTCATACTTGAAACGTTTGAAATAGCCCCAAACAAATATCTTTCTTCTTTAGTAGCAGCAATGAATAGCTAGAACCAGCCTGCGATACGAAACAAGCAACCACTTTCCAACACGTACAGACTGCCTGACCATTGTGAGCCATGGAGCAAGATGGGTGCCTTTGCAATTGAACAAATTGTTTAGGACATACAGCTGTTTAAACCAGTGATTCTCTGTTATAAATTGACGGAAGGAATTACGTTGGCTAACTTTAACGGGGATTTGCCAGAGGAGTTTGGCTGTCAAAGAGACTGACTGGCCGCGCACTAGCTAGGGGGAACACATACAAATACAAACCTTCTCGTTAATTGACTCTCCTATACAATCATTCCTTTTATTGCCGAATAGTCACCGTACGATCCGTACCCCCGTAGGAATGCCTGGTAGAGACTAGAAGAAACAACATCAGTGTACAAATGAAAAGTACATCGGCAGAAATTTCGAAACCTAATTCTAATGATTCGAGAGTTTGTTGACCCTCTAAAGTTGGGAATACATTTTTCTGGGCCACCTTATAGTTTCTCGAGCAGTGTGGAATAGGCACGCGCAATTGTAGGTTACCTCCTAGTCTCTCATGTCTTACGTCTTCTAAGGATTTTATTTGACTTTTGTTGATCTTTCTTTCATCTCTGACGCAAGCGGGCCGCGCGCGCAGGCGTTCAGCTGTTCTCGCTAATGAAACAATTTACTGGAACAAGCAGCGCAGAACCACCCGATCTGATTGAAAATCGACTTCAGAGCTCCCCGTGCCAGTTTCATTATCATAGAATAACCAGCCTGACCCGGGGAAACGTTTTGAACGATGAACCAATTTCCGTCCTTTCAAAAAATATTTGAAAGAAACCAAACTCTTCCCTCCCCACATCAAAGAACGGCTGTAGGCGCTGATTTTTTCAAAATTGACTTCAGAGTGCCAGTTTCATTATACACATTTTGTATTGGCTACTGAAACTTACCTTATGAAAGTTTTTGAACGTTGGACCAATTATTGGACCGTAAGTTTTTGAAAATGAACTAAATGTCGAACAACCCACCCTCTCCCACATCAAAGAACAGCCGTAGGCGTTAATTTATTCAATACCGACTTCAGAGTTCCCTGTGCACCATATTGACTAATCAGCCTACTAAGGTAACCTTAAGAAAGGTTTTGAACATTGGACTATAATCCCGTCCTAATGAAAAGAAAGAGGCTAAAAGAAAGAATCTAAATGTCGAAGAAATCATCCGACATACATCAAAGAACGATCACGGGCGTAGTTCTATTTTTTCTCTGTTTTACAGGCCACTGACATTTCAGTGACGTTATGTGGGTTGTTGAAAGACTGCTATGGTTTTAGTAGCTACTCTAGTCACTAATAATGCAGTGCAGTTCACTTCTTTGTGTTAGGTCCTTCTCTTTATAATAACTTAATAGACAAGATATCAGAGATTTCAGGAAAATGTGCAATCCTCGGTTTTTAGAATTCCTCCATGGCTCCCAACCAGCTTCGTAGACCTTCTCGTTCCTGAGACTAACTTTTTGGCCTCCTGTCACTATGCCTGTCAATCTCCATCCCACGTGCTATCAACCTACTCTGTCTGGACAGATACACAGACCCACAGCTTAGCCCAAAAAATACTTCCGTACCCGAAGGTAAAAAAAAAAAACATACATTGAGCATCAATGTGTTTTTTTAATTTGGCTGTACGGACAAAAAGACAGGTTGAGTTTCTACACATCTTTATTCTGAATTAAAGCGTGCAGTTGTCCAACTTCAGGAAAGCAGCAGACAAGATTTAGTTCATCTGCGAGCATCGTAAGGCTCTGGACATTTTATCAACCAATACAAATAAAACAGCCATCACATAGCTGCTAGAACGTAGCACGAGTTACTCTTGGCTTTCATTTTATCTTATTAAGCCTGGTTACCAAACATAATATAGCTCCCGAGTCCTACAGCCTCTCCACAAAGCATGTAAGACTCGGGAGCTATGAAAGGTTTGGTAACCAGGCAATTGCTTGGTAGTCTTTGGTGCAAGCTCTGTCATTCATGTGTGTCCACAACAACAAGGAACCTTCATATCATTCAACGTGTCAGAGCAGAAGAGACCTCATGTGGGGCACACGCAAACTGCAGTTAAACTACCAAAACTATCTTCTTGCACCTGTGTTACACCAGATTTTCATATTTTCGATGCACATTACATTCTGTTTATTCTAAATAAAGGCCTTTGTCGTTGTGAAGACAAAAAAAGTCTTGGCATCCTGACATCATTTTCCACCAATCAGAGCCAATCTTCCACATGATTCCAGCAGACTTTTGCTACATATATGTAAATTAGCCCTTATAACAAGACACCTGATTGGCTGGCTGGCTGGCAGCAGTTTTGAATTTGAAAGCCTTCATGAAACCAACGTGACATCGAGGCTGTAGATTTGGTCGTGACAACAGCAGATTTAAAGCGAACGCTGCTCAAGTCCAGATCCCTCTGCTATCACAACGTTTGGTCGTTCATTTCTCACAGGCTCAACAGTGTCAAAGCAAGAAGGTAAAATCTTTCCACCATTTCTTCTTATTCCTACGTATCCTAATTACTTAAAAGGAAAGACCCTTATGATATGCAACTACAGCATCTGTGTAGCAGATTTGCATTAAGAATTAGGTACTTAGTAGTTAGAAGACCTGGGGAACACAAAGCTTAACATAACAGGCTGAAATTTCCCCCTCACGATTGAAGTAAAGCCACTAATTCATCAGTGCCTCCTTTTACTACCAGGGTACTAAAATGTTTTGGCACTTTGATGGAACTTTTCGAAATTCAAAAATCCGTAGAGAGGTAATGTGTTTCAAGTACTTTGGAGCACAAGAAATACCAACATGATTTTTTAGCAGAGTCAAGCAAAAATCTATAATACTACACATGTCAAGCAAAAATCTATGAAAGTTCACCTGTGTTGGTAGTTACATGATTAAAGTTAAAACATTTGAACCAACACAAAAAAGTTCTCTCAAAAAGAGCTTTCAACCAGTCACTCTGGTCTTCCTCAGTAGCTCTAGGTGAGAGAACTTCTTTGTGTTGGATTTAAAGTTAAACGCTTATCATATCTTGATAATGCAAAATCACAATCATGGTCTCTTTTGCATCTCTCTAAGACTGGTCATCACTGTATGAGTTAGCAGTGGGACCTGGAGTTGGACAGTTTTGGTCAGACGAAACAAGTTTGAACTGCAATATCCAACACAAGAAATTGGACTCACCCAAATTTTCGACTGTACAACTCCAGTCTTTTTCAAAGAATGAGCAATCCACCGCTTCCGTGACGTCACGCAGATAACACACGTGACTCCGTGAGCAGTGGATCACAGGTTGCAGAAAGTCTATGGATTGCTCATTCCTTGACAAAGACTGGAGTTGTACAGTTGAAAAAGGTCCAATTTCTTGTGTGGGAAATTGCAGTTCGAACTTGTTTCATAATGACTTCTACCAACAGCTTATAAGTTTTGGTCAGAGTTTGGCCGCCAGTCATTGCTGTGACAGCTGGCTGGCCGCGGCGCTGTCCAGGTACCAGTGCAGCTCCCCATCCAGCGGCTGTACCAACGCGGCCGGCAGGGGGTTATCTTGTTCGTTACCCTCCAGAACAACCTGAAACAAAGGACAAGATTTGGTAAGCAAATGCAACAGGTACTAGAAAGGTAACATTTGCAAAGCAAATGCATAATGTTTACCTTCGCATGTGGTCTGCTCTGTTAATTCTTACTCAAACACATACAGGAGTCTAAATCCCTCCTGCTATAAAATTGCAACATGGTGTAACCCAACACAAGTTACCATGGTGACAGACGTCTGGTTCAGGTCATTGACCTTATTTGTTTTGTAGAAGAAGAGGAGGAAACAGAGCAAAAACAATATGTTTTCCTTCAGTATGTAGAATTCAGAATGTAACTAGAATTGTAACATTTGTAAAGCAAATGCATAATGTTTACCTTGACATGGTTTAGCCTTACAAACTACTGTTTATTCATACTCAAACACATTCATTCACGCTAACATCCAGTGGAAGAGCTCATCTTCCACTTGACAAGACAGAGAAGACAGACACTCAGGTCAGAAAGCTCATGAAGACCGAGTTGGAGAACAGTTTAATTCTCGTTATGTCTCACCTTGACATTGGCTGCCTTGGACTCCCCGGTACAAACGAAGACGGCACAGCGAGCTCGGTTCAGCACCTTCAGGGTCAGGGTCACACGGTTGGGCGGCGGCTTCGGGGAGTCACTGATGGGAGCAACCAGGAGGGTTCTCTCCTGGAACAGGTAAAAGTCAGGATCATGGTTAGTCTGCCAGACTGTTGGCGGGGCCAGTTTACATTTGTACAGGCTAGCTCCTAGGCTCCAGGGCTAGGCTGGGTAACAGACTATCACCAGGGCCAGTATACAGGCTAGCTCCTCGGCTCTAGTGCTAGCCTGCTTGCCAGACTGTTGCCAGGGCCAGAATACAAGCTAGCTCATAGGCTCCAAGGCTAGCCTGGGTACCAGACTGTTGCCAGATTCAGTATACATTTGTACAGGCTAGCTCCTCAGCTCCAGGGCTAGCCTGGGTACCAGACTGTTGCCAGGGCCAGTATACAGGCTATCTCCTCGGCTCCAGGGCTAGTCTGGGTGCCAGACTGTTGCCAGGGCCAGTATACACGCTAGCTCCTCAGCTCTAGTGTTAGCCTGGTTGCCAGACTGTTGCCAGGGGGAGTATACAGGCTAGCTCCTTGGCTCTAGGGCTAGCCGGGGTGCCAGACTGTTGCCAGGGTCAGTATACAGGCTAGCTCCTCAGCTCCAGGGCTAGCCTGAGTGCCAGACTGTTTTCAGGGCCAGTATACAGGCTAGCTCCAGGGCTAGCCTGGGTGCCAGACTATTTCCAGGACCAGTATACAGGCTAGCTCCTCGGCACTAGTGTTAGCCTGAGTGCCAGACTGTTTTCAGGGCCAGTATACAGGCTAGCTCCTTGGCTCCAGGGCTTGCCCGGGTGCCAGACTATTGCCAGAGCCAGTATACATTTGTACAGGCTAGTTCCTTGGATCCAGGGCTAGCCTGGGTGCCAGACTGTTGACAGGGCCTGTATACAGGCTAGCTTCACGGCCCCAAGGGAATTTTACCACAGACCATGACTGAGAGGTAAATTAGATCCTGGAAGCCAACTCTAAGAGTTTTGGCTCTGGGCTTGTGGCTTCCCCTGGCCAAAGTAGATAGCCTCCTGTGCACGGGCGGAGTGGAACCTTCTCTCCCGGCTGGTTGTAGGATGGCCGGCTGTATTAAAATAACGTGTTAAAAACTCTTCCCCACCGCCGCGGGGCCTGCACAGGAGGCTAGGCTAAAGGGAGTATTGTGTTGGTTTTGGCAAACAGGCTAGATCATCACTCTTTGTTTGTAACATTAAAAAGAGAATTGCTTTAGTCTTTATCTCTGCAAATGCATTGTAGTGAGCCTCTGTCAGGCTCTTGTTACAGGAAATCATTTCTGATTCAAGCTTTTGTCTGACATGAGGAAAATAAAGCCCACCTGCAGTAGTTTGTGTCCTGGGAACAGAGAGGCGGTGTGACCATCAGGACCCATCCCTAACAGAACCATGTCAAACACTGGGACATCCTCACTGAACACCTGCAACACACAGAACCACATCAAACACTGGGACATCCTCACTGAACACCTGCAACAGGGAAATACACTTCAGTAAAACATTGTGTGTTGGTGTGTGTGTGCGAGTCTAGCATTACACATATTGTTATAGATCACTGGACCAGGTATTCCCTAGTTAGCTTTGTATGCAACTTACATCATTTATAATTTGGCTGGGTGACAACTATTTTAATGTAGTTGTTTATGTCTACTTGCATAAAAGGACACTCAATAAAAATAAGAAACATCTGTCCAGTTCCCAAAGACTCATTTGAAAGAGATTTTGAAAATGGAAAGGAACAGTAAGAGTACACTGAATCTATAGGTCCCATTACACTCTGTGCAGAGAATAGGGGTGGTGCCCAATTTCTGTTGCCCTTGGGCCACACAGTTGTGCAAGCACTATAGCAGGGGGCTAGTCTGCTGGTAGTGTTGTGAGTTGACCTTCCTATACTCTTTTTCATAGATGCTGGGTGCTAAGCAGAGGAAGCAATAGGCACCATTATCTCCATTATACCAGAATCTATAGGAATAGAAAATGAAATGTTGACCTGTTTGAGTTTCTGTGTGTAGTCCTCGGCTGCTGCCTCCACACTCAGGCTGGGGTTGATGGGATAGATGTGCTCAGCAGCCAATGGCACGCTCCCAACAAGTCCTTCCTGTGGGGTCAAAGGTCAGCAAATCAGTACTAGTATGTATACCATTATTAAGAGCTTTTAACTTCCGTTTGCAAGAGAAATACATTATTCATACCATGTCAACTAGTACTGTTATGCAAGCATAGTTTTCTTGCATCAATGCCCACTTGTTCAAAGAACTAGGACTTTATTTTCTCTCCAAAATCAAGCCAAGACTAATAATTCATGTACACATGTCATCTCTAAAATCAAGTTTGTGTTGCCACAAGTTTACAGAATCATGCAATCTGGTAGAAACACTCAGCTATAAAAGTAAAAAGTAATCTTTACCATATAATAATTTACCTGTCGACCTTCTACTCACAGTGTATGTACAGCATAGAAGCCCAAACTAAAGGTTTCAGGGTCACCAATATCTAACAGCTTATCACCTTTTACCCGAGAGTGCAAAATACACATTGCACATATATAATATAGAAGCATGAAATGTAAGGCCAAAAGTCAGCACAATCCACCAGATGGCAGGGTGACAGGCAGACCATTACAATCTCATTATATAGTAGAAGTAGTACATGTAGTATCCAGTATTTGATTATACTACTGGGGTCTCTGACACAGGTTGGCAGCAGTTGGCTAGCCTTCATACTGCATTTCCAAGTGTCAAATGCCTCTTTCCCCACCAACTGTAAAGTTTTTAACTTCCATCTTCCAAGGGCAAAGTTCTTTCTGCTATTGTTTTCTTTTACAAAAGAGGTCTCAATGGTTCATTTATTCTCAGACTGATATTAATGTTGCTCAAACACGGATGATGATGTGAAGTCCTATATAGCACACACAACAGTGACACACATAAACCTCCATGGTGAAATAACCATTACACAAACTATACCTAATGCACTTAAGTACACTATAACAGTATAAGTGGTTGGTTGCCCAAACAGTGTTTAAACAAGCGTAACTATATGTGCATATCAAACCTCCTGGTTCTGTGTGTGTCAATAAGTTCTTTTAAAATATCATACTAGTAAATGATATGCAATAATTATTAAAAAAAGAAAGCTATCAAAACATAACATAAAGCTGGCAATGTTGACTTAAAACCCCTACTGCAGTATAACGCTGTATACCGTTTGTAGGTTCCTAAATCCTTATGTCAATCATTAATGTGACTACCGCATGGGAAAAATATGTCAAAAACATCCGGGCTTGTTGAACTCTACTGGGAAGGGGGCGTGGCTACGACATCTGGTGACAGCTTCCGCAAAATGATTTGACAGCACATACAAAAGAGCCCTGCTTGTTTTTCTCAGGATTTTAATAGATATTTCAAATAGGTTCAACTGACTAAATCATGAATTGGTTGATTCTCTAATAGTATTAGCGATTTCTATAGCGGGCCAAAATTAATTATTTGACAGCACATAAAAAAAAGAGTGTTATTTTTTTTCTGAGAATAATGACAACACAGGGAGTCATGTTCACCAACGAAGGACTACCAAATTAGATATCTTATAGCGATTTCTTCAACACAATAAGCCCAAACTTTACCTTGTAACCTTTGTAATTGCAGTCGCCATGACCAAGGGGCACCAGTCGTTCGTCCGCCATGAAAACCCTCCACTTGTCCCATCCGACGTCGGCGTGTTTCACCATCTCCTGACAGAAGGTTTTAGAACTACCGATACATCTTATACGAGTAGCGATATTTCTACAGTAGAAATTTAAGCCCCAAGTTTACCTTGTAACGCAGTCGTCATGATCAAGGGGCACCAAGCGTTCGTCCGCCATGAACACCCGCCATTTGTCCCAGCCGACGTCGGCGTGTTTAACCATCTCCTGACAGAAGATCTTAGCAACTAAGGCCTACCAACACATCTTATACTATATTTCTTCAACAGAATAAGCTCAAACTTTACCTTGTAACCTTTGTAATTGCAATCGTCATGATCAAGGGGCACCAATCGTTCGTCCGCCATGAACACTCGCCACTTGTCCCAGCCGACATCGGCGTGTTTAACCATCTCCTGACAGAAGATCTTAGCAACGAAGGACTATCAATACATCTTATATCGATTTCTACAACAGAATAAGCTCAAAATGTTACCTTGTAACCTTTGTAATTGCAATCGTCATGATCAAGGGGCACAAGTCTCTCGTCCGCCACTTGTCCCATCCAACATCGGCGTGTTTCACCATCTCCTGACAGAAAATCTTAGAACTACCGATACATCTTATACTAGTAGCTATTTCTACAGTAGAAATTTGAGCACAAACTTTACCTTGTAACCTTTGTAATTGCAATCCTCATGATCAAGGGGCACCAAGCGTTCATCCGCCATGAACACCCGCCACTTCTCCCATCCGACATCGGCGTGCTTCAACATCTCCTGACAGAAGATCTTGGTCGTGCTGCCGCCTGAAACGGCGATGGTGAACACCCCCCTGCTGGCCACGGCCTCCTTGGCCTTGGCGGCGACCAGAGCGCCGAGTTCCGTCCCGATTGTCGCCTGGTCGGCCAGGACGTGCACACCTTCCTCCGCCATGTTGGTGCTGAACAGCTGAGAGGGGGTCAGAGGTCACAGCCACCTGTGCCGATGACGTCATCTTTATTTACGTCGATGAAGGTTATACATATAGGTAATGATATACATGTACAAGGAATTGTAAAATAGATTTTAAAAATCTATCCAGTTGCTTGAGGAAAAATTTCTTGTATTTGTTGTGGACGTCATCTTTATTCCATGAATATGACTTGAATTTTCCCGTCTATGGCTTTACTCTTTTGTGCCTTGATCCGTTGTATGTCTTTCTTGATCGGTATGTCATATTTAACATATGAAACTAGCTGCACGTCATCCTCATATCGATTATGAACACATTATATATAGCTGAATATAGTACAAGCTTGAAACGCACATATGGTGTGAGCAAATGTATCTTGAGACACCTACATGTAGTACCTGTGATGTGCCACTTTTCCGCTAGCTTTTCTCCACTGATGGATATTTTTCTATGAATGGGTTAATCTTGACTTGAGAATCCATTCGCTTCTGCTTAGTATAATGCTAACTTTTACAAGTAACTTTACACGTGTAGAAATTGTAAAATTTCTGGTAGAACCGCTCAAGATTTTTCATGCAAAGTGACTCCTTATGGACTTATTGGCATGTTCCTGTTTTTTAAATATTTTGTTTCTACTGAACCGCTCAAATACTAGTAATTTCTAGAAGATTTCTTGGCAGAAACAAGATTTGCGTATCGCGCCGGTCTGTAACGCACCAATCAAACGTCACTCCCCTTGGCCGACTCTGATTGGCCGTGGTTCCCACTTCCGGGTTCGCGTGTCTGCTGGAATGTTCTGGGTGCGGAGGTGACTACGCATGTATAAAACCACAGGTCGCTGGACGTTGTTTTTTCGTACCAGTAAATTCAGCTTGAGAGCAGGTAGAATTTTTTGTTGGAAATCCAAGACGACATGCCGCCTGCTGTAACACAACATGGAGGTTTTGGACGAAGTGTTCAACTACCGAAAGTCACCCTGGACCGTCGCTATTCCGTTAAGGGTGAGTATTTAAATAAAGTGCTATTGGTTACGCTCTGGGTTACACGTTTGTTATTATGTTTACCGAAGGAAAACATATTGTTTTTGCCCAGTTCTTCTTCTCCAAACACATAAGGTCAATGGCCTGAACCAGACGTCTGTCATCATGGTACTAACTGGTGTTGGATTACATCATGTTGCAATTTTATAGCAGGAGGGATTTAGACACCTGTCACTATATATGTGAATTTGTTTGAGTAAGAATTAACAGAGCAGACCATATGTGAAGGCAAACATTATGTATTTGCTTAGCAAATGTTACCTTTCTAGTTTAATGTTTACACTTATCTGAAGACCCTGAATATTATAAAAGCAAGACCTTGAGCCTTACAAGTTCTCGAATATCTCCTTTTGGGTCTAACACAATGTGTAATATTTTTATGGCCCTATATTTATTCCGAGGCACAAGTGATATTATGCTATTATTATATTCGTTACACGTTTGTTTCTTTTTTGCACTTGTCTAGAGTCCATATCATAAGAGCATGACCTTTCAAGATTTTAAAATGTTTTTGTAGAAATATCTTGGGTGTGACACATGTCACAAAGTTATGCAATTTATTACAATATCCAATAATCTATTCATCTATCTGCGTTTAAAACACGAAATTGTCGTATACAAAAGTTCCGTAGAGTATGTTATCTGCTTGCTGTACATTATCAAAATGTAATAATGAGTTTACATAGGGTCACCACATCACTTGCGCATGTAAACCAACATACAATCGTTTGGATAACGTTTTCATACTTCAATATTGCTCTTTTATGCGACCTTAGCATTGATGATACACAGGAAATCGAAGACATTAAAATTTTAATTATTAATACTGTTCATCATTATTTTCGCGAACCAGTTATAAATTACGGTGCTCTTTTATCCCCTTCATTGATTGTATGCGAAAAGTCATTGAATTATTAATAATGTTTATTGGTAAAGCTTGGATGACTAATAGCTGTTGCTAGCCCATTTTTCTGGCGTGATGAGGCTTTGGTCTTTAAAAGACTGTATGACGTCGCCAACTGTCAAATCCTATATCCGTACCTTGTTGATTGAACACGCCTCCGCGTGGTCCAATCGCATCGCTCCTTCTGAAACGTCATCGAAATGGTGGTCCCTGATTGGTTGATATAACCGTGCCGGGTTATTATGAGGTTTATCTTGGAACACTTTCCAGCAGAGGACAGTGTGTTATAAAACGCAGCTTCACCGTGAGGCGGTTATTTTAGTTACGAAATCATTGCTTTCATGACAAGGGAGACAGTTTCTCAGTAACCAGAAAAAAGATGACGGTTTTAATTAATTTTGGCGAGGACGCCGGTTTCAAAGTTCTACACGTTTCCAACAGTAACGGTAGGTGATACATTGCCAACCTACATAAGCCGAAAACTTAATGTTTTCCTGTCTTTTGTCTGTAGCTTGGTAAAATTGTAATCTCTAGCTATGGTTTATCTAAACTCTTAGAAAGGATTGATGAGAAACAGATTATCAATGCAGATACGGTATTGAAGTAGAGGTTCAGATGCGAACTGATTCTTGACGTTAATACCATACAGCTTCAATGCGTCCGTTTTGTGGTCTTAAGTCTAACGCTATCTAGATCGATAGCATGTAAACATATCATAACGACCATTGGCAGATTGTTTAAAACAAGATTCAACCCTTGCCTACCTAAGTCGGAAACTTAATGCCCCCTTGTTGTTGGTCTTGTCGTCGTTGTTGTTGGCCTAAAGAGACAGTGGTATTCTAAAGACTAAGCAAGGAAAAGATTATTGTATGGTACATTAACTCAGATGTGAAATTCTTTACATCCATAACATAAATGTTTACAGCGTTAATGTCGCCCGCTTTATGACATTTGTATGATATCATATCAACGCTGTAGCGCCTATGGGAGGACCGTGTTTACCAAGATTTAACTCTAGCTTTAGTTCGAAAGAAACAAGCCTAGCTATAGTTTGTTCCAATGTCCACAGCCCTCCTATTCAGTGCTGTTTATTTCCAGTGAGTCTATGCTGTCGGCAGTGTGGCTAGTGCTATTTTTGAGGCGACTGGTGATTCACCGCGTCATACTGTCATGCATGGCGCTTCACGTCTGTATATCAAAGGAGCATGCAGGGCACTGCGGGCCGTTTCTAAAAGTAGCCAGGAGAAACCTGACGCCAATATTTTGAATCGTGATCGGGATTTTCCGACCACAATGTGATGTGTCACTGTTACTGTGTGGATAGGTTAGTTTTTGTCGACGCCACTGGAGCGGAGCCGATGATATTGTAGCTGTTTTGTACGCCTGTTTCCCGTTACTATTTGAGGTTAAAGTGGTGTGGGCATAATCAAACAAACATACTTTTGGGTGTCTTAAAAAAGGAAGGAACCTTACAGTCCGGTCTTACGCAGCTTGTACTTACATGTGCAAAACTGGTGTGTTACGCCTAAAGGCGGTTAACCGGTTATGCGGAACAAACGACAGACAGCTACACCATCCCGTCTTTGCAGAGATCTTCTGCAAACGATCTTTATCATTCATTTTTACTGGTCGTTTGGCTAAGTGGATGTAAAAGATATAATTAAATATTCTCTATTTTACAGGATTTCAGCGGGACACCAACGCCGTCGACGGCGAAAAGCACCCATCTGAGCAGAAGACGACAATAAGGGACGCTCCTAGAGTAAGGAACGTTCCGATTAAACTCATCAAGAAGGGCGGACAGCAGGGCGAGCCACCGCCGCCCCCGGATCCTACATTCACCGAAATCACGTTCAATCGAACAACAGACATGTGCAAGACTCCAGGAGTTCGCCAGGTGGCGCGTGACGAAGACGTGGATGATAAGTTGACCTCCAGAAGGGTGCCGATTGTTGTGAAACACGAAATTCGAATGCCCCGCTCTTTTGAGAAAGAAAAGGACGTGTTCTCGTGGGATTCTGACTTTGAGAAAGAACTGTCCGCGCCAAGATACGCACCTAGATCTACTGATAGCGACAGTGTGTGGGGAGATGGGAAGACAAGTCTGAGAGAACTCTTAAAGAGCTGCAGCTATGAAGGGACTTTAGGAAGACGACATCACAGAGCCGGCTCTAGCAGTACAGCATCATCGAGCAACGTCATCGATTCTGACATCGAGGAGGTTGGGGACGAGATGTTTTGTTGGGAACGAGAGCGTTGTGACGTTTCGCGGGCTCTTGGTCATAATCATGAAAACGGAGAAGACGTACTGAGCAGAAAGTTGAAGAACGTTTCTGTCGGAAACAGAGAGATATCGTCAGAAGTGGGTATGTCTAGCCACGAGAGTCGCAGTGGGTCGTTGGGAAAGGCGAGAGAGCGCAAGCCTAAACCAGCAGGCGACGAACGAGTAGACTGCGCAAAACCGACCACGGGAAGACTCCCTGATTCGAGGCTTGACGCTATTGTAACGGAGATACAGCTGCAGGATAGAAGCCTGGCAAAAGAAGGAGCTTGCCGCTACCCTATTGCCGGCGACGGGAACTGCCTGTACCGTGCTGTAGCTCACGCCTTGTACGGCAACCAAGGCCTCCATACAGACCTACGCCGGCGCACCGTGCAGTACATGCGCGACCACAGGGACGACTTCGCGCCCTTTCTGGACTGCGACGCTGACCCGTACTTCGCCAAAGCCGGGGAAGACGGGGAGTGGGCGGGGTACACGGAAATGGTTGCCCTGATGCGACTCCTCAACGTCGACGTGAAGCTGACGACTGGGGGTACTCCAGGTCAACCGGATGTGACGTCAGGCGTGCACAGAGTTCGGGAAGAGGGGGATTCTGGGTGTAATAAAACGGTCTGGTTGTCTTGGCTCAGTCACGGACATTATGACGCTGTGGAGCGATAATTTTCCAGAAACATTTAGTAGCCAGACACATCCACTATACTTTAGTCGTTTATAAGAAATATTTCATAGATGCGAAACTAATTATATCTTTCATCAGTCTTTGACATGTATAATTCGCTACATTTGTTGGAAAAGTAATATATAGGACAATAGCCTTCTACGCCTCATACTGTAAATAATGACAATAATAAGATTAATAATCAGAGGAATGATTTTGTCGTTACAATGTATTATATTGCACTGTTGTTTCTCGTGCCGTGTTATCTAAGAATACTTCGTCATTTACTAGCATGAAAGTTCATCTGAGTTGGTAAATATTAAATAATTCATCGTTTGTTTACATCTATAGCTATCACTCTAAAATCTGATGAAAACTTGCGGATATCACCTGAAAACCTCAAATCTCAAGTTGAAGAGATTTGGGGGGGAAAGAACATCGATTTGTATTCAGTATCGTTCGTATAAATTATAAAAATGACGACATTTGAATAAAAATTCTGCTGTATCCGCCTCAGAGGTTTCAATCAGCTGGGTGTGTGGTGTGTCTGTAGCCTGGTCACAGTAGATGACGTCGTCACGGGGGTTAGTGGCTTCTCAGTGCGCATGCCCGATGATGTCACGTGACCGCCGCTGCCCGTTACTATGACGACGTCCGTCTCTATCGTTAGATAGTGCTGGGTGGAGAAATAGTCATAAAGCAGTTAATTTCATCATTTTCACGCTAATAATCATCTCCCAATGCATCGGAATCGCTCCAAAACGCCATTCTGATCAAGAAAATCTCCCTGTTGTTTTTTTCATTAATGATGCTAATATGATAATAAAAAAGATACAGACTTCGTTCTGTGTAATGCCTGTGAGTTAAATGATGTCGCATGTGAAATACTGCTATGTTTCTGGTTACGTTTATTTTGTTGGTGTAAAGTATATTGATAAATAAAACCAATCTTTTACCTTATGTAAAAGAACCTCCGGTTTGATGTACTTCACCTTGTTTAATTTGAATGGAAGGCCAATCGCCAGGTACCCTTAAGAAAAAAAATACAACATGTGCAATAGTTAACTGTCAGACTTATCTATTAATTCCTTTATATTAAAATTTAATCTAAGAAAATCAAAGTACAAGTTCACGTTATTTACCATTTTGAACACAATTCGTGCAGCTGGCATTGAAGAAAATTAAGAACAGAATTTCAGAAAGAATTCTGTTTTTTAATTCAAAATATTTCCGACGAGGCGGATTTGAACCACCGACCTAAGGATGCCAGCGCGACCACTACAGTCCTCCGCTCTACCAACTGAGCTATCGTCGGAACCACGACACTTCTCTGTCCGAAATACAATTTCCTGACGCGCACGCCAGGAGAATTTATGACCCATAAAAAAGAAATGTAATTCCTAACACCTAGAGAATTTACGGCGACCGTGATCATAGATTGAAATCGATCCAATTTCGATTGATCAAAATGCCCATTCAACTGTTACATAGTGCTAGAATCAATATCAAAGACGTTTCAAAAACGGAGAGAGAAACAATAAAATGAATATCTGTTTTGTTCTCCTTTCATCTTTCCCCCCTCTGGTTCCCTTGCCATGTTAGATACATTTCGTCCGCCGGTAGCGTGATGTCACAAAGCGGCTAGATATACGTTCTGCTACACAGAATACTAAACATCGTGGTTATACGGCCAACACGTCCAGTAACCATACATTAATAGTGCGGCCTCGGCTCATAGAACGGTGCGGCCCATGGTCACTCTATAACGCGTCCAACTTTTGCAAAGATGTAAAGCTTTGTATCCTCTTTCTTTTACAATTACGATTGGCGACCGTTATAGTCGTATGCAAGGAACAATACACATCCTTTTGATGAGTGATGGGTACGTCGCGATTGAAAATGAAAGTCAGAACTCTGGAGCCGTATGAAATCACTGATCTATCACATATGAATATAGATGAAACCATATAGACATGTCTATTGCACACGTGTTCACGTTCCACTACATGTAGGTTTTTAACCAACCATTGAATACGTACTGTTAAACCATTGTAGCACGGCCTGACGACACAGGTACTGCTCTATCAGCTTCTGCGCATCCGGCTGTGGAGAGACAATGACACATGACGTCAGCTGTAATGTATAATTTCTAACCAGTTCTGATGTAGAATTTATTATTTTTTTCATTCAGCCGTACACCGTAAGCTTTGCCTATAAGACTTACTAAATGCTCGTCAAATGAAGTAAAAACTTACCCCGATTTCCCCAACCATAGATGACGTCAGAGGTTTTATTTCGACTCTGGAGAGAGAAATAAACTTGAATTAAAAGTAAATGTGAGCGTTGGTAAACAAGTCAAGGCAACTTTTCTAATTTTGATTTTGCGGATTGTGATTTTGGACAAGATATGATTATTATGTTAGGTATTTAGTAATTTATTTTTGTATTAATCTAAATTTTATTTACTTATTTTTCGTTCTCGTGACCACCCCCCCTCAACTGGACCTCTGGGAAGAGCGGCTGAGGCCGACAGGGCATTTCCAGTATAAATAAAGGGTATTGATTGATTGACCTGGCTGAACTTTCCGACGCCTTAGCAACGAGATATATCCCTGACATGCGGAAGCTGACCGGTACGTCCATAGCCTGTGCACAAACAAAGTAAAAACGGTAAATAAACTACAGCTATAGCAGTGGAGGGGAAGGACCCACTGTTTCCCGTGTTAACATACCAAGAAGTTGTCCACGTTCAAGGTTCATAGCATATCATAAAAAGGACAAAGGAACAACTATTATATCATATAGTTAATACGGTTACATATCCAAGAATTCAAAGTACTTGAGTACTTAAATAAGCTTGCCACTTTGGTATATTATTACCTGGATGTCGAATCATCATCGAAGTAAACCTACGAATTCTATCTTTTTATTGCACATGTATCAATTTTCTCGACAATTCGCTTAAAAATGACCCCTCTAACCTGAGTTTATACTCTTTCCACCTTTGATAAAGCAATGCTGAATACTCACAAGTTTAACACCAAATAAACGTGTTAATTCCCCCCCGCGGTCGGAGGCATACGTCACTGCCCGCCCAGCCAATGAGAGCACAGCTCCTTCCTCGGTGATTGACAGCTTGGGCGGGGCCGACGCGTTCACATGCACCTGTAGTGCAGCATCCGGGTACTCTTCATGGATCTGAAATGAAGAAATGACAAAAACGACCATGACTTTTCGAAGAGCTTGACACAGAGGTTTACGTAACTACGAACTAATGTAGACGTACAGAGAGCTTTCTAGTTGCCATTTATTTCATTGTGCTTTCTTAATAGATCACTATCAAAGTTTACGTGTATGCCATTCATGAAAGATGTTGCTTAACTGAGAGTTATTCAGTGATAAAGTTTAAAAAAAAAGGACTGTGGCTAGGCAAGAGACCTCACCTTTGGTAAGACTGTTTTGATGACTTTGTCGGACGGTCTGAGCTGAATCGGACTGTCGATAGGAACCTAGGAAAGCACCGTAAACTTATTCATGAAATGGAAATGCAAAGCAAATGCATAATTTTTACAATCGCATATGGTCTGTTCTGTTAATTCGTACTCAAACACATCCATATATACGGTTAGACAGGAGTCTAAATCCCTCCTGCTATAAAATTACAACAAGATGTAACCCAACACTAGTTACCAGGGTGACAGACGTCTGGTTCAGGTCATTGACCTTATTGGTTAGGAAAAGAAGAAGAAGAGAGAGCAAAAACAAGATGTTTTCCTTCGGTAAACAAAACTAGTCTCACATTTGAAGCCTTGATTATCGCAGACAACATCCCTGACTGAAAGAACGCCTGTCCCAGGCTGTTAAAGAAGTACTCGGTGACATCATAGTACATCATGCGCGGGGCGCCGGTGTAGTTGGTGTTGGGCAGGTCACGTGGTTGGAGTCCTGCATCGGGATTGGTCCCGTTCAGGCGGGTAGTTCCCTGGGAAGACCGGTGAAAAAAGTGATTGTATCTCGATATCCAGATTTAGCCCAGCGAAGAGCTACTCTCCGACTGATGACAGAGAAGACAGACGCTATGTACAGTATTTACAGATTCATTGTATCAGGGAAATTCCCGTTCCCCTAGCTCTTTAATAGGGACAAGCACAATGAACAGTGTTCCTCAGCTTAATGTCCCGTCCTAGTGACTGCGAGCCTTTGCAGTAGTGTGCATGTCGTTTGAGCGACAACAGCCGGGATTCGAACTCCCAACCTCAAACCACTGCAAATTTAGTAGACAGCAGTCTAATTCAAAATTTGACAGTCTAATTCAAAATTACTTGCTATCGTTGAGTGATCTCAAGCTGTATATGCTGTCTAAATCCCGATCTGTTCATTGTTAAACACCTTGACGTAAAGTAAACTCTTACCTTCATGAGAGTCTGACAGTTACCAATGCTGAATACTACGTCATCCACCATCGTCATGTCGACGTAGATATCTCCAACCAGCGGGACAATAACTGAAAAACAAACAATCCTTTGTATGTCTAGTCGTCCTATCATTACATAGGTTTTCAACTACAATGGGAGTACACACGACATGGAAAACTACATTTTAAAGAGAGGGACTGCATCTTTTTGAGACAAAACAATCAGCTATCAACATCAATTCATATCGTTTCAAGTTATGTTATTTACAAAGGAAAGCAACTGACTCTAGCCCTGTCCTTGGTGCTGATTTTGTGTTCAATCGTAATTCAATGACCATTTCTCATGTCCAAGTCACTGATAACGAGTGTAATCCTCTGTATTGCAGCAAAACGTTACTAAAACGTCCAGACCAGTGAAATATGGGAATGTGTTTCCCGCCAAAGGATCTTGAACCTTGATAAAGACCACAATGCACCACTCGGAACGGAGAGGTGACGTGTACGCGCACGGAACACTGGGAAACGTACCTGGGGTTCTCGCCATTCCTCCGTCCATTCTCTCATGCACCGACTTGTTTACGGCGTCACACAACTGTGCAAGACAGAGAATCAATAATATCGGCATCATTTTTCTGTGGCTGCCCGCTCCCCTCTAGAATTGACTTATATAACGTATTTTAATTGTCCAATTATCGTGTTGTTTTTTTTTTGCATTACCGGACAAATTGGAATCTACTTATTCTTAGTTTTAGCTATATTATACCAGGAACATACCATCTCGCTAAGTTGGATCTTCAATTCAGCCACGATGACCGGGGAGAACAGGTTGTACAGCCAGCTGAAAATGGACGGGAATTCATACTACGTATATATTACTATGCAGTTCAACCCAAATACCATAATCGGCTAAGTTAATTCAAGAAGAAGGTCTCCCAACACGTGATGAACCGACAATAACTGCAGTGCCACTTCCGGGGTGCTTTACCCCAACTCATGGGGTGTTTTTGGATGATGCTGAGCGAATGAACTTGCAAATAGTCAACGGTCAAGATCAAGATCAAACAGTTCGGTAAGTGAACTACTGCCCTCATCTGTAGTGGTGGCGTACACAGATGGGTATCTCGTGATTAGCTATCGAAATTCTGTTGTACCGGCAACCCCCGACCTGATGATGGGGGTGTTACCCAGTACCAACCATAACCAGAACTGACCTAGCCTGAGTGTCAGCCTTTTTAGCTACCGGTAGCGGATCTTGGCGAGCGGACAAAGCTAAAAAGGCTGACACTCAGGCTAGAACTGACCTAGCGCCGCCGTGAAAGATGAGGCCCATGTTCCCGATGCCCGCCTCGCAGGACGCCAGGGAAGCTGTCGGGCGTCCCGTTCTGTGTTGCACTGGAACGAGAAAGGGACAACCATGTTATAGACGTGTAGCCTGGGTGTCATCCTATTTGTATGCCGGGGTTTCCATATAAACTTACTCCCTAAAAATATGGAAGCCTCGATATACAAGAGGAAGGCACCCAGGCTAGTGGAAGTATGCTGTGATGTACATATGTAGTAATCTCGAAGCAGATTCTACGGTGGCGAAAACTGTGACCATGACATGTAGCCCTCCGTAACCATTTGCAAACTGGGCTAATTTTCAGGGGGCTAAAGGTAACAACTCTGGCCAATGGATACTGTCTTGTCACCTTAAGGATCTGCTTGCTAACATAATTTAATGTTTAAGAAATCTTACGATTCTTTAATGTTTAAAAATTGTGACTTACTGACGGTAATGACGATATCGATGTAAGCTGCTTCCACGCTGACGTCAAACGTCCCGCTGTCAGTCATAGGGAAGCTGAAAGGCATGGAATTTCACAATTAGATCAGCTAGGGAGATGAACAAGTATTGATAATATACGTATTTATTTATATGGCATCCATATGCAAACGCAGTCAGCGCGTGGTATTATGGGATTGTATTCGATCGGTAAACCAAAATGGCGGATGCATTGAACAGGTGGATTAGGCTGTGGAGTTTCTTCAAATCATTGCGTTTGCCATTTTGCAAATTAAACGGCAAATGCATAGGTAGTTTTCCAGCTGCAATGCCATACACATGTGTGGAGCAATCTCTTTTTTTCTCTTTTCTGTCAAAAACTACACAACTTTTGGTATCAACTACTGTAATTCCTGATTTTTTCACTGTACTGTTATATTCACTGTTTTCACTGTCACTTCTGCACCGTGAACTTATCATTACAGTTAACAAATAATTCCTGGACTTTCTTTTTCCTGCAGCTGTCACCACCGTGAATATATAGTTCCGTGAACATGTCCATTTTTCTCAGACCGTGAACTTTTGTTACCGTGAACTATTATCTGCAACGATGTGTACTTACAGACTCTTGAGCTGGTATCCCCAGGCCCCCTTCACTGCCGCGGCGTCCACGGAGATGTTACTCCTCACCCCGACACCAGGGACCACGCCCATTCGCGACTGCCCCATGTAAAAGTCGGTAAGTTCCATGCTGTACGTGTGTATGGGAGTAAGGTTCAAAAGTAAGGGGTGCACCCAAATATTTCTCAGGTATACGTATGTGAATATATCAAAGAGTACACAGTAACGTTATATTATTACACATTTATTTATTGTACAAAAAATGGTAAAAATATGTTTTTTTAAATTTCTGCTCCGATTAATGATACACGAAGACCAAGCTTAAGAAGATGTGTTACGTTTACACATTTGCTTAGTTGATAAGTTTACAATTTATTGGTTAATAGATGGGTGGGTACTAGGATGTGTGGATGGTTCGATAAACCTACACATAAGATGACTGTTATGATGGAAACAAAACACTCACTTTTTGATGTAGTACTTCAGAGTTCCGACAGGGGACGCTATTTCCCCGCTGGAGGGAGGGATGCGGATGTTGTCCACGTTTCTCTGAATCATCCTCTTGAAGACTTGTGCGCCTGCGCCATGAAGACAATATAATCCGGTAGGGTATTTCAATTTCTAACTAGAAAGGTAACATTTGCAAAGCAAATGCATAATCTTTACCTTCACATATGGCCTGCTCTGTTAATTTTTACTCAAACACACACACACACACACACACACACACGCGCGCGCGCGCGC